ATCTTAGTAGAGGACTACAATCCCTGAAAATTTCAGCTCATTTGGCCTTATAGTTCCCGAGATAAAATCGTGTTAAGCAATTTAGGGTGATTTATCAATTTTTCAATTTTTCTGAGTACTCTATTTTATAGATTTCGGCTTCAAATCTGAGAATAATTTAGTGCATGGAGTTTGGGGGATCCCAAATGACCATTAGGACACAAAATCTCAACAAAAAAAATTTGAAATTTCATCGTTTTAGTAAGAAGGTAGCTACCCTATGATTTAGAATTTAGAAAACTTTGAAAGGTCATAACTTTTTTTCTATTAAAGATAGAAAGCTGAAATTTTCAGCGATTCTTATCTTAGTAGAGGACTACAATCCCTGAAAATTTCAGCTCATTTGGCCTTATAGTTCCCGAGATAAAATCGTGTTAAGCAATTTAGGGTGATTTATCAATTTTTCAATTTTTCTGAGTACTCTATTTTATAGATTTCGGCTTCAAATCTGAGAATAATTTAGTGCATGGAGTTTGGGGGATCCCAAATGACCATTAGGACACAAAATCTCAACAAAAAAAAATTTGAAATTTCATCGTTTTAGTAAGAAGGTAGCTCCCTTATGATTTAGAATTTAGAAAACTTTGAAAGGTCATAACTTTTTTTCTATTAAAGATAGAAAGCTGAAATTTTCAGCGATTCTTATCTTAGTAGAGGACTACAATCCCTGAAAATTTCAGCTCATTTGGCCTTATAGTTCCCGAGATAAAATCGTGTTAAGCAATTTAGGGTGATTTATCAATTTTTCAATTTTTCTGAGTACTCTATTTTATAGATTTCGGCTTCAAATCTGAGAATAATTTAGTGCATGGAGTTTGGGGGATCCCAAATGACCATTAGGACACAAAATCTCAACAAAAAAAAATTTGAAATTTCATCGTTTTAGTAAGAAGGTAGCTCCCTTATGATTTAGAATTTAGAAAACTTTGAAAGGTCATAACTTTTTTTCTATTAAAGATAGAAAGCTGAAATTTTCAGCGATTCTTATCTTAGTAGAGGACTACAATCCCTGAAAATTTCAGCTCATTTGGCCTTATAGTTCCCGAGATAAAATCGTGTTAAGCAATTTAGGGTGATTTATCAATTTTTCAATTTTTCTGAGTACTCTATTTTATAGATTTCGGCTTCAAATCTGAGAATAATTTAGTGCATGGAGTTTGGGGGATCCCAAATGACCATTAGGACACAAAATCTCAACAAAAAAAAATTTGAAATTTCATCGTTTTAGTAAGAAGGTAGCTCCCTTATGATTTAGAATTTAGAAAACTTTGAAAGGTCATAACTTTTTTTCTATTAAAGATAGAAAGCTGAAATTTTCAGCGATTCATATCTTAGGAGAGGACTACAATCCCTGAAAATTTCAGCTCATTTGGCCTTATAGTTCCCGAGATAAAATCGTGTTAAGCAATTTAGGGTGATTTATCAATTTTTCAATTTTTCTGAGTACTCTATTTTATAGATTTCGGCTTCAAATCTGAGAATAATTTAGTGCATGGAGTTTGGGGGATCCCAAATGACCATTAGGACACAAAATCTCAACAAAAAAAAATTTGAAATTTCATCGTTTTAGTAAGAAGGTAGCTCCCTTATGATTTAGAATTTAGAAAACTTTGAAAGGTCATAACTTTTTTTCTATTAAAGATAGAAAGCTGAAATTTTCAGCGATTCTTATCTTAGTAGAGGACTACAATCCCTGAAAATTTCAGCTCATTTGGCCTTATAGTTCCCGAGATAAAATCGTGTTAAGCAATTTAGGGTGATTTATCAATTTTTCAATTTTTCTGAGTACTCTATTTTATAGATTTCGGCTTCAAATCTGAGAATAATTTAGTGCATGGAGTTTGGGGGATCCCAAATGACCATTAGGACACAAAATCTCAACAAAAAAAAATTTGAAATTTCATCGTTTTAGTAAGAAGGTAGCTCCCTTATGATTTAGAATTTAGAAAACTTTGAAAGGTCATAACTTTTTTTCTATTAAAGATAGAAAGCTGAAATTTTCAGCGATTCTTATCTTAGTAGAGGACTACAATCCCTGAAAATTTCAGCTCATTTGGCCTTATAGTTCCCGAGATAAAATCGTGTTAAGCAATTTAGGGTGATTTATCAATTTTTCAATTTTTCTGAGTACTCTATTTTATAGATTTCGGCTTCAAATCTGAGAATAATTTAGTGCATGGAGTTTGGGGGATCCCAAATGACCATTAGGACACAAAATCTCAACAAAAAAAAATTTGAAATTTCATCGTTTTAGTAAGAAGGTAGCTCCCTTATGATTTAGAATTTAGAAAACTTTGAAAGGTCATAACTTTTTTTCTATTAAAGATAGAAAGCTGAAATTTTCAGCGATTCTTATCTTAGTAGAGGACTACAATCCCTGAAAATTTCAGCTCATTTGGCCTTATAGTTCCCGAGATAAAATCGTGTTAAGCAATTTAGGGTGATTTATCAATTTTTCAATTTTTATGAGTGCTCTATTTTATAGATTTCGGCTTCAAATCTGAGAATAATTTAGTGCATGGAGTTTGGGGGATCCCAAATGACCATTAGGACACATAATCTCAACAAAAAATAATTTGAAAATTCATCGTTTTAGTAAGAAGGTAGCTCCCTTATGATTTAGAATTTAGAAAACTTTGAAAGGACATAACTTTTTTTCTATTAAAGATAGAAAGCTGAAATTTTCAGCGATTCTTATCTTAGTAGAGGACTACAATCCCTGAAAATTTCAGCTCATTTGGCCTTATAGTTCCCGAGATAAAATCGTGTTAAGCAATTTAGGGTGATTTATCAATTTTTCAATTTTTCTGAGTACTCTATTTTATAGATTTCGGCTTCAAATCTGAGAATAATTTAGTGCATGGAGTTTGGGGGATCCCAAATGACCATTAGGACACAAAATCTCAACAAAAAAAAATTTGAAATTTTATCGTTTTAGTAAGAAGGTAGCTAGCTCCCTTATGATTTAGAATTTAGAAAACTTTGAAAGGTCATAACTTTTTTTCTATTAAGGATGGAAAGCTGAAATTTTCAGCGATTCTTATCTTAGCAGAGGACTACAATCCCTGAAAATTTCAGCTCATTTGGACTTATAGTTCCCGAGATAAAATCGTGTTAAGCAATTTAGGGTGATTTATCAATTCTTCAATTTTTTTGAGTACTCTATTTTATAGATTTCGGCTTCAAATCTGAGAATAATTTAGTGCATGGAGTTTGGGGGATCCCAAATGACCATTAGGACACAAAATCTCAACAAAAAAAAATTTGAAATTTCATCGTTTTAGTAAGAAGGTAGCTCCCTTATGATTTAGAATTTAGAAAACTTTGAAAGGTCATAACTTTTTTTCTATTAAAGATAGAAAGCTGAAATTTTCAGCGATTCTTATCTTAGTAGAGGACTACAATCCCTGAAAATTTCAGCTCATTTGGCCTTATAGTTCCCGAGATAAAATCGTGTTAAGCAATTTAGGGTGATTTATCAATTTTTCAATTTTTATGAGTGCTCTATTTTATAGATTTCGGCTTCAAATCTGAGAATAATTTAGTGCATGGAGTTTGGGGGATCCCAAATGACCATTAGGACACAAAATCTCAACAAAAAAAAATTTGAAATTTCATCGTTTTAGTAAGAAGGTAGCTCCCTTATGATTTAGAATTTAGAAAACTTTGAAAGGACATAACTTTTTTTCTATTAAAGATAGAAAGCTGAAATTTTCAGCGATTCTTATCTTAGTAGAGGACTACAATCCCTGAAAATTTCAGCTCATTTGGCCTTATAGTTCCCGAGATAAAATCGTGTTAAGCAATTTAGGGTGATTTATCAATTTTTCAATTTTTCTGAGTACTCTATTTTATAGATTTCGGCTTCAAATCTGAGAATAATTTAGTGCATGGAGTTTGGGGGATCCCAAATGACCATTAGGACACAAAATCTCAACAAAAAAAAAATTGAAATTTTATCGTTTTAGTAAGAAGGTAGCTAGCTCCCTTATGATTTAGAATTTAGAAAACTTTGAAAGGTCATAACTTTTTTTCTATTAAGGATGGAAAGCTGAAATTTTTAGCGATTCTTATCTTAGCAGAGGACTACAATCCCTGAAAATTTCAGCTCATTTGGACTTATAGTTCCCGAAATAAAATCGTGTTAAGCAATTTAGGGTGATTTATCAATTTTTTAATCTTTCTGAGTGCTCTATTTCATAGATTTCGGCGTCAAATCTGAGAATAATTTAGTGCATGGAGTTTGGGGGATCCCAAATGACCATTAGGACACAAAATCTCAACAAAAAAAAATTGAAATTTCATCGTTTTAGTAAGAAGGAAGAAGGTACATAGCTACCTTATGATTTAGAATTTAGAAAACTTTGAAAGGTCATAACTTTTTTTCTATCAAAGATAGAAAGCTGAAATTTTCAGCGATTTTTATCCCAGTAGAGGACTTACAATCCCTGAAAATTTCAGCTCATTTGGACTTATAGTTCCCGAGATAAAATCGTGTTAAGCAATTTGGGGTGATTTATCAATTTTTCAATTTTTCTGAGTGCCCTTTTTCATAGATTTCGGTTTCAAATCTGAGAAAAATTTAGTGTATGGAGTTTTAGTAAGAAGGTTATGATTTACATTTTGGAAAACTTTGAAAGCTCATAATTTTTTTTCTAAGATCGGTAGAGTTTCAGGGTACTTATGGCCCTTATTAGTTGAAAATGTTATAGAATTTGCTCCAAATTGAGTTTGTATTCTTTTTGTAATTGTTTGCGATCGACTACCACATGCATCTCTTGTCAGATGATTAATACTTTATGTATTAACATTGTTTCTTTTTTTTTCAAGATCGGTACGGTTTCAGGGTACTTATGGGGATTTCTCTACCAAAGCCGGAATAGAATTTTTACTTTCCCGTATCTCAAAGCTTTCCAGCTCAACTGTCTAAAATTTAGTTAAAAAAGACCATCAAATATTACCTGTAGCTAAAGTACTAGTCACTAGAAACTTGTCATTTTCATGAAGCACCGATGATAGAGTGATATTGTAATTTGTATAAGGTATCAGATTTGGTATTATGATTTCATTGTGCTTTGTTGTTAAAAATCCTCCAGATGAAAGTCTCGTAGAAGTAGCAATGTCACTGGATGAACAGATGTCATTTCCCTGCAAGACAAACTTTATTAATAGATATACTTTATTAAAATCAAAAATAATTCTTACCTGATAATAAATAAAATAGGTAAGATACCGATCAGGATCTTCTTCAGGCCATTTCAACGTTAAACTAGTATCGTTTGAAATTATATCCACAGATGGAAATTCTGGAAAAATATCATCTACTATTATGTAAAAAAAAACTTGTTCATTAAAAATAAAATACCTTCAATGACGTCGTATTCCAGAGTGTGTGGCCTAAAGCTCGGTTTTTTGATTAGCTGACAAGAAATGCTATTAACAGTGGAATCATCTTCCGCAAAAGTTTGATTTAGTTTCAAGTAACTAACTTTTACCTCTAGAAATTATTGAATAATTGAAGCTCAATTAATAAAAATTGTCTTACCATTTTCATTACAAACTCTTACATTATCATAAGCCCACCATCCTTTAGACTCCTCCTTTGTCCCATTGACAAATTCAGTTTCAATAAACAAATTAAATCGGCTCAATTTAATGTTTTCTTGTTTCAATTTTATTTCGATCCATTTCTCATTGGTGGGTGGTACTTGGTTTAATGGCTGCCTTTTGGTACCATTCATATAAAAAAAGGACATTTTACAGTTACTACAACTGGCTACTAGTAACGAAACGCATAAATCTTTGTAGCCAGTTTGAATTTGTGGCCCTAATCTCGTCATTTGGGCTGTTTCTGTATACATGAAATAATCTACAATAATTTAAAACAAGGAATGGTTTTTGGAAGAAATATAAATGGTGCTATTACTTTGAATAATTTTCCATAAACTAGGTTGAAAGCTTCTTATAAGCATATATGATGGCTTCAAAGGCTCTTTATCCACATGACTTATTAACAATCTGTCCATATTGTTTTTGTCGATTAAGGTAACGTTTCCTGTTTCATCTACGCCGATTTCGAAACTTCGCCATTCATCGCCAGCAATGATATTTGAAGAACTCTAGATAATTGAGGTATACATTGTGAGACAAGTTTATATTAATCTAGTTACCTTTGAATATTCTAGTTGTGATAATTTATAGTCAAATTCGGGAGTCAGCATGGAAAATTTAGCAAAATATACGTCTTGTTGCTCTATACGAAAATAGTAAGAAGGGTAATTGTGCGGGTTCCAGCCTGTACTCAAAAACACTTCGACAGCTCCGTTACTTCGTACTGAAAATCCCACTTTCGCAGCATTTTCCAAGTAAAATCTTTGAGTGAATTCTTTCGACGAATTGCTTATCATTACAACAGGTAAGTCTAGAAAAACAGATACAGTATTGTTCCAATTTTGAATCGATTAACTACCTTCCCATCGATTGTCGTCGATAAATTCTCTTGTTCTCGACGAAGTTTCGTCTACTCTCCAGTCTCGCGCTATCCATTTGAAATTGCACTTATCGTTTTTGGAAAATTTGCAGTTGTAATCGTCTTGTAACGACGGTATATATTTCGTTGCTGAAAATTTGGTTAAATTAATCAATAGTTATTTTTTCTCGACACGTATTTTTCCGAAACGTATGTGGCCCGACAGTATACAACTTGTATACCTACGTCATAGACTGGAAAATCTTTCTAGCAATGTTCAAAATCGAACTTATTTTGTTTGTCAACCTTATTTTTGAAAGTTATTGTTAGTGAGGAACACTCAATCAAATAAGCCAACATTAGTGGCAACTTTGATGTACGGTTTTGGAGCGAGTCTAAACAAATTTGTAGGGATTTCTGTGTCAGGAAAAATACTGTCGGAAAAAATCCTACGTTTCGGGCAAAACACAGTTCTGGATAATATACGGAAATTGATTTTAGTGTCAGTATTTCTACGGTTGGGACAAATACGTCTTTTTGCTTTTGAAAAACATGTAAATTTGAAAATATTAAAAGATCATGATTTCGAATTGTATTTAAACTGCATAATTATTGATAATTTATTAGCAATTTTTCAATTGTGATCGTCTTTGTCTGTATGTTCTAAAAATGTCAATCAGTTCCAAATAGGAAGTCTAAATTTATCCATATAAATTCATCGATGACGCAAACGTCTATATCCTACATCTGGCTCATAACATAAATCGTCTCTATTTATATAAACAGAATGTTTCTGGCTATTGTTTTAATGTATAATTTTATGGCATACAAGTTTTATTAGGTATAGGTACTTTTTCTGTAGCTCACAATTTTGAAATTACCATAAAACCCCATACAAACAAGTGTAATCTTTTTAGTTCCCAATTTTTTCTACACTCTCATGGATGTTTTAATTAATAGATATCAACACAATTACAAAAAAAATTAATTAAGTAGATTTTGTTGGGCCATTTTCTCCTATATCCCATGTACCTATATATTTTTATCCAAAACCAAACTACAGCCTTATCGGCATTATCATTGAATAAACATTCACTTGTTTAATAATTTTTCCATTTTATGAGAAAATATCCAACTATATGAAAACAAAAATGTAATCTGAGAACCTAAATGTTGAAAGATTTATGTTCATATTTACTGTAGCAGTCCATAAAATTATACTTCTTCAAGTGTGTACTTACGGTCTTACTCTGTTGATGTTTTTTGTGAAATAAATATTTGCATAATGAAAATAATGAATTTTCAGCCTCAGTTTCCTTGGGCTGATGAATATTAGTTATTTTAAAAACAAACATTCACATTTAAGTTAAGTATAACAAATAAGTTTTTTCAAAACAGCGTTTTTTTTGTTCTTTTCTCTTGTCTTTGATGATTTCAAGTTCTACATAGAATAGACAATGTAGGTATATATTTTTTCCCTTAAGTATCTAATATAAAACAAAGCTTAACTTAATGTTTAGTGTTTGTGGAGGAAAAATCAAAAAGTACCTACGTAAAGTAAATTGAAACCTAAAAACTTGATTTTTCCAAGAGCCATTTAGGAAGAAGTAACTACCTACCTAAGTAGGTACCTACTTGTAAGAATTTTTGTTTGAAATTTGAATACAATGTGTACATAAAAATATTAAAACACAAAGTTCTTACTTGAATTTGGTACTAAAACTCCATCCTCGGGCATGGGATAAATCCATCCAACAGCCGAATACCGATCCAAACCTTCGGCCACACAACTAGGCTGCAAGTTCGCCCTATCCCTCTTCAATATGTAAGTCAAACTGGCACTTTCGGCAATTAAAAAAAGTTGCACGAGCACAATTATTAATTTCACTGATGCCATTATTATGTTTTAAATTGAAACGAGACTCTCATCCATAACTTTTAGTTTTATAAATAAACGCTGATGTCTAAGCGCGTGTAGTTCGCTGGATAATAAGCAATAAAGATAAAACACAGCTCTAAGGTTGAATTAAAAGTTTCCTTATCAGCGAAACTGTTGACATTGTGAGATTCGTAATCAACATACCATCTGTAATTGAATCTGGTGCATTCGTTTTGCCTGTAACAAAAAAAAAAAGAACTGTGAAGCAATAAAATTATAATGTAATTAATATTTTTCTTGATGCTATATTTTGTGCAATTTGTACCAAATCAATCCAATAATTAAGGCTATGATGATGAATATCATCTACAATCTACACCGATTGTCACTGGAGCAAAATGTTAAAAATTATTCTAACAGCTTCTGGAGTTTTATACGCTCAAAAAGCAAAAGCAGGGGTACCTAATGAGATGTCCTGGAACGATGAGGTTTATCAGACACATGCAGACATTTCCAATGCCTTTGCATGCTACTTTTCATCTGTATATATGAGCCTTCATCTCAAAATCTAACCAACGAGAAAGACTGGGGCTCTGTTTAGGGTGATTTTTAGTTTTCTGTAATATGTGCCGAAATGATTGACTCTGCCATCAAGAAACTAAAACCCAAGAAGTCTTCTGGGAGTGACAATATACCATCTTACATATAGGTACAAGGGATGTTCAGAATTTTTTCTATCTATTATCGCACATCTTCAGGGTAGGTATTGAAAATAACACTTTTCCAGACATATACTGAAGACTGCTATTTATTGTATTGTAACAGGAATTCATGAAGTTGCAAAAGTAAGTGAAATTGAAAATTACAGACCTATTAGTGTGTTAAACTCCTTGGCTAAAATTTTTGAAATAATTCTTTAGGAAAATATCAAGAATCAAACTGCAAGGAAGATGTGTAAGGAGCAGCAAAGCTTTATCAGTGACAAATCTACTGTCACGAATCTGTTAGTTTTCACAAATAATGTATTGTCTGCCATCAATAAGAAACAGTTAGATGTAGTGTATAGGGATTGGACAAGCTAGGTAAACCATCAAATATTGCCGAAGAAGCTTACTGAATTTGGTTTTTCAAAAAGTGCCCATACATTTTTATTCAGTCATAGGTACTTAACTAATAGAACGCAATTTGGAAAAGTTGGTGATTGCATCTTAGAACATTTCACAGCAACATCTGGTTCCCCAAGGTAGCAATCTAGGTCCTATTTACCATATTTATCAATAGTTTATCTAACATCATTATATATTCTGATTAACATTATTCTTTGTTGGTTATTTTAAATTTTTTAAAACTGTATCGTGTGAAAATCACTGTGTTCTGTTACAAGTTTTTAAATGTGGATGAATGCTGTGTAATGTCATAGCCCCGTAAATTAAATCTAGTCAAACATGATTTTATGATAGATAGTAAGATGCCGAAGCGTGTAGATAACATTAAAGATCTCGGTATATAGTGTATATTTCCAGCCATCTCTTATGTAGATTTAAAACACATTATAAGTAAGGTCCGTTTCACCAGGGTTCATACTTGACCTTGAAACTTGAAAAAAAGGGTTGTCGTAGATTGATTCATATGACACATGCAATTTTTTTGACAAATTAAAATGAATGACTTTTGGTTAAGAACCGACAAACGTTTTTGACGTCATTGATTTATTTCAGTCAATTTTTATTTGTTAAACAAGGAAGGTAAATGCTGGTGGCAAGTACAAACCCTGGCGAAACAAACTTTAGGTATGTAGTGAACAAGGCATACAAGTAAGGTCCGTTTCACCAGGGTTCATACTTGACCTTGAAACTTGAAAAAAAGGGTTATCGTAGATTGATTCATATGACACATGCAATTTTTTTGACAAATTAAAATGAATGACTTTTGGTTAAGAACCGACAAACGTTTTTGACGTCATTGATTTATTTCAGTCAATTTTTATTTGTTAAACAAGGAAGGTAAATGCTGGTGGCAAGTACAAACTCTGGCGAAACAAACTTTAGGTATGTAGTGAACAAGGCATACAGGGCTCCAGGGTTTATCATTAGAAACAGTTAACATTTTTTACATATTGATACCATCAGTTTGTTATACAATGCATTGGTTCGCCCTCATTTAGAGTATGCATCTATCATATGGTCTCCTCAAGCACATCAAAATATAAGTTTAATTAAGAAAGTCCAAAAAAGATTTCTTAGATTCCGTAAGGAAGAATAATATACAGTGTGTACCATTCAAAACGAAACATGCTAAATATCTGATGCCACGTTTATTTTTCTGCAACCATGTTTAGCACTTCAACTTTTACTCTCTGGGCGGGGTGGGACCAACCCTTACTATTTCAAATGGAGCAAGGGGTCGAGTGATACCTCTTTTGAAAGAGCGTTCAATTCTCTTTCATTTGAAAGAAAATTGAACGCTCTTTTAAAACAGGTATCACTCGACCCCCTGTTCCATTTGAAATGGTAAGGGTTGGTCCCACCCCCCCTAAAGTTAGTGCTGAAAATGTTTTAAGCACTCACACAATCAAATTACGTGTACAGGCGATTTAGAAAAAAAAGTGTTATAAGAAATTTAGCCTGTTTCATTTTAAATGCGGTATACCCTGTACATCTGTATAAGATGTCTTACAGATCTCTGTTAAATAGTTTGAAATTTCACTCGCCAGTATTTAGAAGATAGAAGCAATCTTTGCTTTAAATCCCACAATGATTTACAGCATGGAGTTTGTGCGGTCCCAAATATGATTAAAGTCAAGATCTTAACATGGAAAAAATTAAATTTTCAACATTTATGTCCTGAGGTACCTTTGAAGATTAGTTCCGAGAAACTATGAAAAGTTATATCTCCAATAATAATCGTTGCATCCTAGATAGAAATCTGAAATTTTCAAAGATTCTTATTCTAAGAAGTATTTAATTATGGGTCAATTCTGTGCACATCTGTAAGCAATTCTATAAATTTCTATAAGCCTATAGCTGCCTAAAGACAATTTGTAATTCTGCACTTCCTGTAGATCACAGAATATATTATAGGATCGTAAATATTTCCGATGGAATGTTTGGCAATCGATGTGTTTTTCAGTGTCTATAGGCTTATAGAAATTTATAGATTTGCTTACAGATGTGCACAGACTTGTCCCGCAATAGTTTGATTCAATTTGCAGCGCGTCCGCTTCTAGGGTAGATTGGGAGGTAGACTGATCAGGACAAGTCTCGGCCGTACGCAAAAAAAAAGTAACATCGTTACAACACTTACAACATATAAATAAATATAACCCAACAAGGGTATCCTTGCCGCCAAAGACACAGTACTTTTCCCTAATTTTATTATTCCAGATGGTGAGAATTACCCTTGTCCTTTAGGTTACTTTTAGTTTTTAGAGTTAAGAAGTCGCATTTTAACATCGATAGCGAACAGTCGGGTTGTAACAGTCGCTTTGTAAAATCGGTCTTGTACAGAGTTGAAATAAATTACACTTTCAAGTTATTTCGAGTTTTACTTTTACTTTATAGCAGATAATAGGTACAAGGCCTAGAAACAATCCGAGATTTCTACATTGTGGAGCTAATGGAAAACTCCGGGTTCCTAACAAAACATTGAAATTTCAACATGTTTGTCTCAGTTTAATTTCAGAAGGCGTCAATTGCAATTTAGATTAGTAAACTGTTTTTCGGAAAGCGAATTTGTCAGATGTAGTTCAGAAATCATCAGTTGTATTCAGATAATAATACGATGTTTATTTTATTAGGAGCATAAAGTAATACTAGGTAATGTGACTGTGACTCGCATGGAAATTTGAACGCCAAGCGCAAGTACCTAACGCAGATTTTCCCCTCAAAGGTGAGGTGAACCATTATAATTTTTATTTAATACGTAGGTACTACATTGATAACATCTGAAATACATTTGTTGACAAATTTTGAAATACAATTTCTGATCTACACCTTTTCCAATTGTATTTCAGAAAGCGTCAAATGTATTTGGGAATAGTTAAATGTGGTTATTTCAGAAAGCGTTAAATGTATTTCAGGATAGTAGTTAAATGCTATTATTATGCTCCTTTTGGGTCAGTCGGGCTTACATAAAAAAAACTGCACAGACATAGGTAATATTTTATGTGGCCTCCCTCCTAGATTATTTCCGCCGATTTTTTACTTTCTGCAATACTTTTAGCTATTCTGAAATACATTTAACGCTTTCTGAAATACATTGAACTATTCTGAAATACATTTAACGCTGAAATACAAGTGACCAAACTGAATTACAAATAACTTCTTCTGAAATACAACTGACCAAACTGAAACACAAATAACGTTTTCTGAACTACAACTGACCAAGTTGAAATACAAATAACACTTTCCGAAATTAAGTTTACACAACTGGAATACAATTGACGCATTCTGAACTAGAATTGATGAATCTAAAATACTAGTGATACATTCTGAAACACTTATGGAAAAGGTGTAGTGAAAGACTGGAAACCCTGAAATTTTAGTTCATTTGGAGTTATAGTTCCAGAGATACAATGCCGCTAAGGAGGGGAGAGGACATTTTTATCAATTTTCCATTTTTCCTCTGCTCTTTTTTCAAACATCTCAGCTTAAGGACCGGTTTTTCAGTGGGGGATTATTTATTTTAGCTGTTGAGTTTTGGTTAACTAATAATATTATCATTGGTTAATCGACAGCTACTAAACTAGATAACCTCCCACTGATAAACCGGTCCTTCTTACATTGATCTACAGAATGGAGTTAAGGCGGTCCCAAATGATTATTTGAAGTCAAAATACCAACAAGGGAAAATTTGGAAAATCAACATTTTTTGAGAAAAGGTTTGGAGTTATAGTTTGCTAATAAGTCGTTGAACCGACACGTATATACAAGGTGTTTCACCATCGAAACGGAGGCGTTTTAGGTTATTTCAAGATAGATTTTAAAAAAACGCCCGTACACGTCAATTTTATATTCCAAGGGGGAAACTTTTTGACCCCATCGTTATTTCGCTAAGGCGGACCCCTGAGTGAAGTGACTTCCACCCCTCTTTTTTAGATAGGGGAGATAAGTCGAGTGGTACCTTGTTTCAAAGGTATTTTGATTCTCGTCACAAGTGCGTTTTTTTTTTGAAAATCAAATGATCAGTATTCAAGATATTCACTGTCAAAGTTGCCATGGGCTAAATAAAAAGGAACTTGCTGGCCCTGTTATTCTTAAATTAACACTTTCCTGACTTTCCTCTCCGACGCGTAAATTTTCACGCAAAACATGAAAAATTACGTCGAGAGGATGGTCAGGAAAAGTTTTAATTTGAGAAAAACAGGGACAGAATTTTTTTTCTTATTTAGCCCATGGTAACTTTGACAGTTAATATCTTGAGAACTAATCATTGGATTTAATGAATTTTCAACAAAAAAAAACGCACTTGTGACGAGAATCAAAAACCCATCTTCCCTATATAGAAAAGAGGGCTGGAAGTCACCCTACCCAGTGAGTGCACCCGAGCGAAATACCGTTAAGGTCAAAAAGTTTCCTCCTTGAATACAAAATTGACGTGTACGAGCGTTATTTAAAATCGACCTTGGAATACCCTAAAACGCCTCTGTTTTGATGTTCGTGAAACACCCTGCATTTAACCCAACATTTATTTGACCCTACATGTATTTGTTCCAACACGTATTTGTCCCGAGCGTAGAAATCCCGAAACAACGTCATCAGAGTCAAACTCCATCGTAGATGCTCCGTACCGTATGCATCAAAACATTCTGCCACCCAATTTAGCCATAGCCCGGAAACCTGACCAATCGAATTTGATGTGGCTATTTTGGGTGGCATAATGTTACTATATGCGCTGCATCAGGGGTCAGAATGTCGGGAAGATGATGGAGCTATTTAAAGGGTCAGAATGTTATTGCATGAGCTAGATTCAGGGTCATAATGTTACAGGCGATAGAGCATTAGTATTAAATTTAACAATGTTTGATGTTAAAAAATCTATAACTGTTTTTTGTACGTGTTATACAATTCAGAAATTTAGATTTTATTTGTGTTCCATATGTGGATTTTTTCCATGAATATAATGATTAAATTATTAATTTTTTGATTGAAACTGAGGAATTGAGAAATACATCCATTTTGGCTATAAGGGGTTGATAAATTTAGATTTAGCAAAATCTGAATACCTAATAATAGAAAATTTAAGTTCTAAATTTGTGTGGTTTTTATTATATCTTGGCCGGAAATGCGTCTGTTTCGTTTGAGCTGGGACACCCTGTATATAGGTATGTATGTATTTAAAATTTCAAAAATCTTAAATGCGAATTATGATGAAATAAAGTTTTTTATGTCATCATAATTCGCATTTTTAGCACCCTATAAGTGTAAAGTATGTACAGGGTGTTCCAAGAGTAATGGTAAATATTTTATTGACAGTTGATAATAGCTTTGCTTATTTATTTGCACCAAAGTAACACCAAGCTGCACTAGGTGTAGAATGAGAAGCACTCACATTAGAATGAACAAACGTTGTGAGTAGTTTTATCGCATCATGAATAAATATTAAAATGTCTTCGCATAAATTTCAATAGAGCAATAAGCGGGAAATAAACAAAAACATGCGGCACTTATGGACAACTGCAACAGGCTGCTCCGACATTCTGACCCCTGATCTAGCCCATGTAGTAACATTATGCCGCTCAAAATAGCCACATCGAATTTGATTAGTCAGATTTCCGGGATATGGCTATAGATTGGGCGTCAGAATGTTTTGATGCGTACCGTATTTGGCCTAAAACGTATTTGTCATCCAACAGTATTTGTCCCAAAAAATTCGATGAACACGTTCCAAAACCGTACAGCGTTGTCACTCATAATTTGTCGGGACATATTTTGGGTGAATCAGTCTTTTCTCTACAATGGATTTTTTGTCAAATATGACAATCCCTGTCATTGCCGTAGGTATAGCTGATGAGCTCGTTTTACAATAGGAAAAAACGGGTGTACATCCCACTTTTTATGTCACGACTGCACGTTTGAGGTCAAATACGGTTCGGGAACACATACGGAGTTTATTGACTTTTGTGACGTTGTGTTGGTATTTCTTTGGTCGGGAAAAATACGTGTCAGGCAAAAAACGATATAATGCAGTCAAGCTGAACTAAATCACAACTTAGTGTCTTACTATCGACTTCCCACGCAGCACACAAAGTCTTAAAGACGTGTTTTTTGGGTTTGCATTGCGTCTGAATGTCTGAAGACCAAAAAAAGACGTCCATAAGATGTCGTAGATTCACATCTTAAAGACAACTGAGCCACACTATTGCGGGTACAGCCGGGCCCAAAAGTGAATAATGGTTTATCTATTATAAAAAGAGTCTTTAAGACATCTTTATAATGTCTTAGAAGAATGTCATAAAGACGTTTTTAGGCAGACGTTTGAAAGACGTTGGATTTTGTAACATAAGTAGTCTTCAAGATGTGAACACGTAAGCAGACATCTAAAACACGTCTTGAATGCCGTTTGTGGACATCTTAGAGTCGTTTTTGAGATGTCTACAAAAACTTCCCACAAAAAGCCTAGTACCTACTCATAACTGCGAAATTCGCACTTTTTTTACATTGCTTCGACAATTTGAAGTTTGATTCACGCATAAAACGTCAAATTGTCGAAACAATGTCAAAAAAGTGCGAATTTCGCAGTTATGAGTAGGTACTACAAGGCTTAATTCTTTTCGCATTCAATTTAGAGGTTACTAGAAACTATTTAAAATTCTAGAACACTTTAGAACTGTAATAAGCCTTTTGAAAAGTTCAAAACACTATTTTGCGTTTCAGAATAATTTGGAAACTTCAAAACCATCTTAGAATGGCTCCAAAACATTGAAAAACCGATTTACAATTTCCAAAAGCATTTTAGAACAATTCGGAACTTTGAAACACATTTTAGGACGCTCTAAAACAGTCAAACACTCTAGAGTCTCCGGTCACATTTTGGAAAGCGCCAGAATTTTAGGATACATGTTAAAATTTAAAAAACGCCTTTAACAAGGTGATCAAGAGCGAATTTAAATCGCTGTAGAACTTTAAACCTTTTATAAAGCATCCAAATCAGAATTTTGAGGAGCATTTTGGAACAATTTAGAAACTTAATTTAGAAATTACTGAAAATCTTCTAAAATGCTCGAGAACTTTTCAAGCCAAGTTAAAGTACTTTAGAACCTAATAACGAATATTATTCCTCAAGACGTCTTTAGAGTTTACGCAGACGTCTGAAAGACGTTGGGTTTTGTAACATAGGACGTCTTCAAAGATGTCTTTAGGATGCCTTGAAGCGTAAGCTGAGCAGACATTTAAAAGATGTCTTGAATGTCGTTTGTGGACATCTTAGGGACGTCTTTAAGATGGTTCTCTGGTGTCTGGATTGCGTTGTACTACTGCGCACAAAAAACCATTCGAGAAGTTTATAGTCATCATGCCGTGTTACGATATTGTGCCTAATTTTCAAGAATTTTCCGTTAGCCTAAATTAATGTTGCTATATGCATATATAGTACCTAATCATTTGAATTAGTTAATCAAGAGAAACGTTTATTATTGCTCCAAAATCTGAATCAGTGTTAGCAACAACAACCTAATAAAAATGCAATTAAAAATAGAAACAAATATATATAGTCCTTGACTGAAATCATTGAATGGTTTGAGCGTAAATATGACGCCAGGCAAACCATAATGTAGATGAGAACATTATTTAATATTTATTTATAGAATTGCACCATTATTATTTCAACGTGTGTTGCTGAAAGAAAAACAGAAGCAAAGCAAATTATGAATGATAAATATGCATTATTATTATAAGCATTTGAGATAATTATACACTGCATAAGCACACATCAAGCGCAATTTATTCATATTTCATTTAATTAGATTTTTAAAAAAATTGTAGGTATACCTTATATAGATGATTGCTCTTTTCATTTTATGCTTTTTTGAATATGTTTTGTAGTTGCATCACGTACACTTTGTGACAAAGGTTTCATAAAATAATACTTATGTTGTTTTATTAATAACATTCTGAAGAACCTTTCAGTTAGGTATTCTCAATTAAAATTTCAAATACGAATAATGCAATATATGTAAAAGTGAGTTCATTATTGCCTAATAAACCAAATAATGTAATACAAAATATACACCACACGCACCCAATACATATTTGCATAATGTAGGCTAGGCATGTTGACTTAACACTTGACCAGTGACCTCATTGTTTTCCCTCATTTATTAACTAACAACTATACAAAAGATCAATTAAAACTTACCAGTGCTTTTGTTCAAGCAAACAACAATTATTAATAAATGGACCAAGGAGAGTACATTAAACCCTGAAAAGAAAATAAACAAAAACTGCTTTAGCTTGCCGACACGGACCACGGACCACACAGACGAGACCATCGAATAAAACGCAAACCCATGCGATAATAAAAGGCGGGCCAGCAGGATAGGAAGGGAAATTAATTCCTGTCGTCTCGGCACATTTCGGTTCAAGTCTGTTATAAACTGAGTAATGGAATGAGAACAATCTTTAATTAATCAATTAATTAATTGAAGCTGCACACTTATTATTACTTTGTTGATTGATAAATATGTTTCAATGTGCAATTTCCGGATTTTTGCTGAGACACCTAAAAATCTGCCTTCATTTTCTGCTTATATGATCTCCCACGCAATATAAATGTGAAAGTTTATAATTTTCAAAAAAGTTATCTTTTATGATATAGAAATAATTGGCTCATTATATTCATTATATTTGAACTTGACAGTTTTGAACCCTGATGCGATGAAAATTACTTGAAACCTAATGCAAATGCTGAGTAGCTATATACACTATTTTTGGAGTCTGTCCCACAAGAATTTGAATGATTATTGCTCAAATTCAATGTATGAATACAAAATTTAGGATGAGATAGAGCGGTTTGAAAAGCTCAGTCTGAAGCTGATATTCTGGAAAAATAGAAATACTATTGCCGGCTCTATTAGAACTCTGATTTCGATCCATTCTAGAGTTAAACCAAAGCTTGAAAAAGGTAAAACAGGAAGGAGGAATATTCACAAGTTGAAAAATAAGCATCATACACAAACAACAAGAGATTCTGGAAACCATCGAATAGTATCATAGATCATTATATAGTAGGGATGATTCCATCCAAGATGTAGAAATTCCAGTAATACAGAATCAAGGGTCAGAAGAACTTCCAGAAAAAAACTAAAAAGGAAACTAAAACAGCTATAAAATGCATGAAGAACAAAGAACCTCGGGAGAAGATGGCATTATTGTAACTGAAATTATGTAACTGGGAAGTAAATGCGTCATAGAAGTCTTAAATTTTTTTTATAATGCTCGTCTCTGGAGAAACTACACCAGAACAATGGGAGAATGCCAATATGATAATCTAGCATTAAAAGAGACTAAAGGGAGACATAACAGAAATTGGAAACTATCGACCTATCAGTCTGTTATTTCATTTATATAAGCTTTTTATGAAGAGAATTAATAAATACTAATAGCATGGGACTTGAGCTAGATTTTCACCAAGCAAAGAAACATTAAAATGTTATTCCCGGCTCTCCTAGAGTTGAAATTTGACTTTAGAAGTATCCAATTCCAATATCTGACCATTCCAGAGTTAAAGTCGACATAGAAAGGTAGAGGAATCTCAGTTTGCACCTTCATATTGCTAAAATTCAACTTAATGTGTATTGCTATAGGCCTCAAGACAGGGAGTCAAGTTAGAGAGATCTGAGACATTGATTTTGTGCCCTCATAGATCTAAAATTTAACTGAGGAGGATAAAAATCTCATTCTTTACTTTCCTAGAGAATTAATTACATAGTTCCTTAAAAAAAAAAACACCATAATTTTATCATAGTAATATATAGGTTTTATTTAAATAGCTCTGATTTTATATAAACTACATAATGTACTAAAAGAATATTTTTTAAGGATAATATAGAAACAGAGGCGCTACACATAGTGACACAAAGTTAGTCTAATTACAACCAACTCGCTTATTTGTTTTTTGCAAGTGCATTTTTCACTTTACAATAATTATTTCACTAACGACAAGGCGGGCCTGCATAAGAATACGTGATGACGCAAATTACATGCTAGATTCTAATAATTATTGCAAGAAATAAATAAATTTTAAATGCTTGATTTTTTAAATTAAATGCACTTACCAGAAAAAAAAATGGATCCACTGTTTAATTCTTTTGAATAATAATCAATTAAAAAGTGGCCCAAAAAATATTGGTCTGTCCCACCTATCATTGAAAACCAGAGACAGTCTGGGAACAAACCTAATTGCAGAAAATATAAATGCTCTATATAAAAGTGACAAATTAAATTTTATTTACAACAAACAAGTGAACATAATTGGGTTATTGTGGCCAGTCACTCAAACAAAAATCAGTCAAAGGAAGAAAATAATGTAAATACATGCTACAAACTAAAAAAAAATAATGAAAAGGAAATACTCTCTCTCGTTTTTCTCTTCAGCAACGTTTTACTTTCATAGTCCTGGACATTGAACATAAAATAACACAAAACACTGTTGCACAAGAAGAAACAAAAAATATAAAAATAATATAAATAATAAGTGTATAATGGTATTTTTTTTTGTATTATTGCTCAATTTATTTCTTTTTACTGGTCGGATTTCTTTGTGGTGTCGACGGTCGGCCAGAATTCGGACCCTGATACTGGTACTTGGCCTTCTTTTCCGATGGTTTCAAAATCTAAGGAAAACATTTTACATAACAAAACATTCAAGACACAAAAATTCCTTACTTGGAAGGAGCACATCAATGTTTCATCAACGCTCATCATGCCACCAGCATTATCGAATTCGCCACAGTAATTCGGTGCCGAAAACAACGTCACCAGTTGACGCTTGGCGAAAAATTCGTACCCGTCCTCGACCACTTGATGGGCGCGACAAATCAAATCCAAATCGTGACGATTGAGAAATTTGCTAACAACATCAGCGCCAAAAGTAAATGAAACACCGCGATCATTCTCGCCCCAACCCTGAACGTCTTTGTCTGGATCAGACCAGAGCAAATCGCATAATAAACCTGAATTAATTATGTTATTATTTTTTAATACAAGCAAGTAAAAATTGTTACCAGTATCTGGGACATCAGTGGGTCGCATAATCCTCCTAATCTGTTCCATGCCCTGTAAATCGGGACTCAATCCACCGTGACAGCAAAAAATCTTCTCATCAATAATAGCAGCGATGGGCAAGCAATTGAAACAATCCGTGAAAGTTTTCCACAGTTTGATGTTGAAACGTCGCTTGCACTCGTCGTAGAATCCGTAGATGCGGTTGATTGAGGCGCACTCGTGATTGCCGCGCAACAGGAAAAAGTTTTCCGGATATTTGATTTTGTAGGCGAGCAACAAGCAAATGGTTTCCAAAGATTGCTTGCCGCGGTCCACGTAATCGCCGAGAAATAGGTAGTTGGCTTCGGGCGGAAAACCGCCGTATTCGAAGAGACGCAACAGGTCGCTGTATTGACCGTGGATATCACCTGGAAATTATTTAATAATTCAATACTATAAAAATGGTAGCTTCTAGAATAGTTTATTATGTAAGAATCAACATTGAATGAAATGTATTGAGGAAAGTTGTGTAAGACTCTACAACAAAATGACAATATCCCACATGAAACAAATCAGTGCAGTCGAATCCCTAACAACTCAACAAAGCAGTGTTAAAAGTAAGAGCAAATCTACAAAAACGAAATAAACCATCTGGAAAAACAATATAAAAATTGGTAAAAAGAAGGCATCTATAGAAGACTATATGCAACAAAGGAATATGAGAAGTCAAGAGAGTAACAATAAAAATTACAGAAAAAGATATGCAGAAAGCCTACAAGATGATAAAATGGCATAAGAGTGAAACACAAAAGTCTCAATCTTTGATTGATAATTTGTTGGTTTGTTCTTAGTTGGATTTCAGCTCTATGAGGGGCAAAATGTGCGTTTCCAACAGCTCCAAAAAAATAAATAAATCAATAATTAAAGAGCCTGAAAACCCTGGAAAAATTGAAGTGAAATTTTAATATAGTTAATGTGTCTGTATCCCATGGGCACATGATCTTGACTGACAGTCATGGTATTGTGAACAATCCTAGTGGTGGTACTACTGAGGAAATTTGTGTGAATGGTCGCGTAGAGAGCGATTCCGTTTTGGTAAAGACAGTTGGCATTGGTTCTAAGGCTGGGTTGGAGGAGCAAAATTTTTGAAATCCAGTAAATTCACTGGCCTATCCTTAGTTCTTCTTAATGTACAGTCGGTAAGAAACAAGGTAGATGAGCTAAGTGTGTTTTTGGATAATATGTGCTATCCTAATGTTTTGCTTTTGTCAGAGCATTGGCTAAAGTCAAAGGAAGATTTGCTGATTCCCAATTATACTGTGATTTCGAAATATTGTCGTGAATTAAAGGGTCATGGTGGTACAGCTATTCTTGTCAATGAGGCACTTTGTGATGCAGAAGATTTCGAACCAGTAAATAAGTTTGTTCAGATAATTGAAAAACAGGTTTTTGAATTGTCAGTGCAGTGGCTTACTGTAAGAATAGGAATGTATATATTTTGTGTGTATATCGTTCGCCCAATAGTAGGGTTGTGGACTTTCTGTATGAGCTCGAGATTCTTTTATTTCAGATGGGCGGTGCTACAAACATTGTTTTGTGTGGGGACTTAAACATCGATTTTTTGAACGTGACTGATCCTGGAACATGAATGCTTTCGGACTTGTTATTGTCCTTTGCACTGCGTGTCATGCCTGACAGTTCTACGCGTATAACCCCCTCATCCTCAACTTTAATCGATTATGTATGTACAAATATGAATGTTGTTAAATGTGAGGTAGTCAATGCAGGTATTTCGGATCATAAAGCTATTATTCGTGAGGTAGTTAGCAAAGTCAAACCAAAAAGTTTCAAGAATGGTAGAATATTTAGTAGAAGAAATTTTAGTAGATATTTGGAATTGTGTAATACAGAAGAATGGCATCTTGAATGAAGATAATCCATTGGAAATTTTTCATGATAGACTGTACCATGTGTTTGACAAATCATTTCCAATAGACCGATCTCCTATTACCTGGACTGCGCACGTCGCTTGTAGGCTGCAGGTGAGCGTCCAATGAGAAGCAAGTTTGTGACAGGCTTGCGTCATATTCTTATTCAGGGGCCATTTCAAAATTAATCGTTTTTTCTTTCTTTGTAACATGTAATTCGACAAAGAGCAAACTAATACTCTACATATTACTTGAACTCACCGCAGTGTCGTTTAAGGTTATGTTAGATTATACTTGACATATTCCTTTGCAATTTCATTGAGTGATGTTGCCGGATGAAACATTTATCAAAATAAAAGTGCAAACGATGTTAAAATACACTTTAAAGCTTTTCTTTTATCTGATTTAAGGCGTTGTAGAACACTTGACACTATATCACTTCTTTAATGTTATAATGTTCGATTTGTATTGTCTACATTTGTTCTGCAACAATACAATCTGACTACACTGCAGCCTACGAGTTGCGCGCGCATGTCATCTTTTATTGCTTTCTAACTGGTATTTATTATAATTAAGCTCTCTTTTTCTAATCCTGCGAGACAGGTCTATTGAGCGTTTGGAGAACAAGAAATCCAAAAAACCATGGATGACAACGGGTATTCAAATTTCATCTCGACATATGCGATCATTGCATTACATAAGAAAGTTTAGCCTCGATAACTTACCGTTTATGACATATTTTAGAGAATATAGAAAAATTTACAGAAGGGTTTTGATTTTGGCCAAACAGTTATTCTACAAAGGCAGAATATTAAACTCTGCAAATGTTCCAAAGGAAACGTGGAATATTGTGAATGCGATGAGGGGAGAGTCTCGCAAAAATAAGGTGGATTCTACTCTCACCCCTGAGTCCTTATTCTTGAAACAGGGGAGCAGCGTTCCCAGGAGAACGAGTTTTCCGTCTTTGTTACTGATATTATCATTCGCATATCATTGAGAAAGACGGAACACTCTTACTCCTGGGAATGCTGCTCCCCTGTTTCAAGAATAAGTATCCTGATGATTTGAATTCTTTTTTTATATCTAAGCAGGTGTACAACCAATCAATCATATTTTAATTATTATCTAAACAGCACATCAAACAAAGCAATCAAAGATTGCTTTGATTACGAACATGTATGTTGCATGTTTAGCCTCTGTGATCATTTTCACACACAATAAAAACTAATAATAAAACCTCGAATAAAACCAAAATAAAACAATCACCAGGCAGATTTAAGTTGACTTCTGAAACTTTCCAATCCAATATTAAAAAGATCCACATTCAATTTGTTTTATCACAGGATTCGTCAGTCTCAAAAATTTAGTTATAGGAGAATTGTACCCATAGTTAGTATGATGATACTATACATAGAATAATCTGGGGTTTCTTATGCCATGTGTTGTATATCAAAGCCAACCAAATATAAAAGCTGAAGTGATGATAATCTCCACACCAATTAAAGAAAGAGTTCACCTTGTGAAATTCCACAGTCTGATTATTTTTCATGTCATCAGCAAAATTGAGAAATTTGCAATGTTCAAACACATTTTTAACATCTCTCAAGAAAAGATTGAAAATGAGAGGGGGCAGAACATGCCCACCCTGCAAAACATGAGGTGATGTTAATCTCTGATGAGACTGACTTTTTTATTTTCACCTTTTGTATTCTTCCTCAACAACGCTCAAATGTGGTCAATTACGCACTCTAAAAAGCTCCTTGAAGCCCTACGCTTTCAATTTTCTTTTTTTAGTTTTTTTTGAGTATTTTATGGTCAACTCTGTCAAACGCCTTAGAGAAAAAACAGAAAAATATCAAGATTGTCAATGTGATGCAAAAACATACAATACAGAAGAACAATACCCGAGTTAACTCTTTAAAATATAAACACAGATTTCAAATATTTATTCATTCTATAGGATAATGAGGATTTTGCTTGGGATTTTGAAAATCTTTAGGGGATTTTGAAGGGGTTTTAGACTCGGTTTTGGAGATCCTAGAGGATTTTTGGAAATTTTAACAGATTTTTGGCGATTTCAAAGGATTTTTGAGCATATTGATTATATTAAGCTGGTTTAGTCCATAGTCTAAGCTGATAACGACAAGCTTTTGTGATTTGATAAAAAAATAAACTTAAAAATAAACATAATATACATATAGTGTATATTACAATTTACAGTAAAAGTATTTGAAAGCTGAAGATTTATAGTGTTTTTTCCCTCAAGTGTTTCTAAATAAAAAATTTTCAAAGCTTTAAATTCTTTATCAATTTTGCATTTTTTGCACAGTTTTATACAAAAAGGTTCATTGCCAGATAACTTCTTGAATATACTCTTTTTTTTTTTTTTGTCTGTCCAGATGTATTGGTGGGTCCGAGGGTGGGTCCAATCGTTGTTTTAGAAATTTGATTACAATCTTCTCTTTTAAAGAAACTATGCGTCTCAAAAATCTATTTCCTTTGTAAAAAGAACAGCCTAATATTATTAAAAAAAGTTTCAAAGCAACTCTGTTTGATGTTGCCTCATCGTGAAATTGGAAGTCTTTATGATTAACTTCTTTGACGTCAGAACTTGAAGGCCATTCCGAATTTGTAACTACAATCTTCAAAATCACTGCTGCTTTCCATATTATGTATTTTTTCCAGTTTTATCTATTTCTCTAGCCCTAGATTTAACTTCTGACTTTGAATCTATTGGACACTAATAATTTCAATAAAATTTTGTAAGATTTTGTAGGATTTTATGCTATTTCAAGAAGATTTTTGACTTTTAGTTTTGCCAATTTTTGCAGCTTGGATAATAATCAATCTAAAATCTAAAAATCAGAATTATTCCAGGTTTTTCAACATATTTTCGAAACAATCTGAAATTAATGTTTCATGCATTTCAGCAAGGATTTATTTATCTCAATATAATTATTATTATACCGAATTGATGAATCATCACTATGAAGTAATAAAAAAAAGGGACCAGGGTAGTGTAAACAAGCTTGTTCCTTTCTTTTCTTATCTATTTTAATATTCGTCATTCAGCAGTAGACTATTTACCAAGGAGCAATAAGCTATTAAAAAAATAATTATTATATAAGGATTTCGAGTTTAGTGAGCATTCTTGATCGAATTTTCTAATAAATGATTAGTGTACAAATTAATAAATTTCGTAAGTACCAACAACTATTTATAGCCTTCTGATCCTGCCCTTCAGTCACGCCACAGGTCCTAGAAAAGTCCCTTTATGCACTTAAAAACTTTCCAAAGGAAGTTATCTTTTGTTTTTTTTTTAAGGGGTAATAAGTACAAGTTCAATAAATCAGAACTTTGGTAAGCTACTTCTAGATGAGCAAGTTTGGTATTGGGCTTTGAGCATTTGGCTGTAAATGTTTTCAATAACTCCTTTGAATGATTGCCATTTTTTACCAATTGAAGTTGCGTTTCACTGACATCCAAGACAACAATTTGTGGTTTGATTATTTCTTTTTGGTAATTGGTGTCCCCTGGGGAAGCCGTCCACCATAATAGGTTAGGATCCCATTTGTTGCACGATTATACTATTTAAGGTAAGTGTAGCAGTGGGGCACTACCGAATATCGGCGAGAAATGGTTGAATTATGATTTGCTGTTGGATGTCAGCTGCACAATGTGATTCCAAGTGGATTAAGCATACTGGGTCATATAAGAATAGCCGAATGCTTAAGAACTTTGCCAGGCACACTTTAAGATTTAGATTTCTGAAAACTTTGTAAGGTCATAACTTATTTTCTTTATCCTAATAGAGGCGAAATTTTTTTTTTGCACGGCAAAAAAGAGACAAATTATTGACTCAGTAAAACTTCTTCTGTAGGAATATCGGGTGACGCTGGTAGTGTTAACTTGGTATCAAGCTAGCACTACCAGAGGGTATTTAGAAGAAAAAAAAACGCAACAATTTTTTTTTGTATGACAAATTTACGACAAAAAAGCGATATATTAATCACTTTAACGCCATTTTCCGGCATGCATGTGGTATTGCTAACTTGATAGAGGTGTATTCGAGGTTGTATTTTTTAATAGATCTTACAAGCTTCTTTGGGATTTTGACCAACTTGTACATGGATTTTGACCAGTTAACCGCCCCTCGATAATAGCTTTCGTAAATTTCACAAGGCGAGTCAGGGGGAATATCCAAATAAAATATGCTTTTTGTCCAAGTTTACCAGAAGTTTGTAGCTAAACAATAAATTTTTGTTGTTTTACTTCTATTTATCTAGTCATAATTTTCATGATTGATGGACGATGTAGCAAGTAAATATGTACCTATAGCTAAATAACTTACCACAAATTTTCAGTGGAGCCTCAAGTTCCAGCAATATCGGCTGTTGCAAGAATATTTCTCTCGATTTCAAGCATAGTCCGCGCACTTCTGCTTCGGACATGTGGACAGATTTTCCTGGACGGCATCCTCTTACTGAAAAGCAATAAAAACATTATACATTAATAAGTATAAGACACAAATAAATTAAACTATTATTATTAATTACATCAACCAGCATTGGACTCTTTCATAAGCACTAAGATAATAGACAAAGCCTCTACCATCTCACTTTTAGCATTTTCAATTTTATTACCAAATAAAAACAGACCCTGGATCCTTGACACTTCAAAGAAGGATTGTGAAAGACCATACAAGCTGAAAACGCTCTTAATACATGTAATTTCCTTGGTCTTGCACTTGAAGTCATAATTAAAATCACCAGATATAAATAGCAGTAGCTTATTTTTAGTTAAAAACACTCAATAATTTTTCAAGATTCTGACAAAAACAATCAAAATTTGTACCGGGAGGACGGTACAATATGCAAGCTATCAAACGGGTATTGTTGAAGGTTTCAATCATTGCTGCGGCAGTTTCAAAGTTCCCTTCAAGAGATGGAACACCATCCTTTGACCGTGCCTGCTTGTAGAATTTCTGGTGCACAAACAGTGCGACACCCCCAGCTCTAAAGTCTCTCCTGGAGAAGGTGGCTACTGAAGTGTAGTTGTTTAGTACAAATTGAGACGCCTCGTTGTGTGTGAGCCCATCAGGATTTCTTGGTTTTGTCTGACAGTGTAGGAAAAATTCCAGTTCAAGAGATTTGCGGCGGAGGCTCCTTGCATTTAGGTTAACAAGTCTAATGTCAGTGTTGCCGTCCCCATTCACTACTGTTTCTACTATTACTGAACCCTCGCGGTGTGGGGCGAAAAGTTCTGCTGTCTCCCCTTTGCTGTTGGAGGCGAAAAAAGGTGATTTTTTTCATTATTATGTTTTCCGGCCAGTTATTTGGATTCAGTAGGCTCTCTTCTAAGTCTTGGCTTGCATTGACTTTAAAGGCTCTATATTCACCAGACCTCAACCCTCTCCACAATTAAGCTTTCATTTGGTCCAAAGTTGTTTATGAGATATTCCATTATAGGTCTGCTTCATTAACTGACCGAAAACCGATTTAACATTCCCGAGAACATTCCTATCTCAGAGTTTCATAAACTATCATTTGACACCAACAATTTAATTGGAATTTTTAATCATGGATTAAATTCAAAGTTGGTGTCAAATGATAGTTTATAAAAATCTAAGATAGGAATGTAAAATCGGTTTTCCTCTAAAATTAACCGTTCAGGTTTTACAGCCTGTCAAAGTTGCAAAAAGTCAATTTTCAACTGTCAATATTTCCAAAACAGTTGAACTTAGATATAGGGTATATCACATGAAATCTGCTCAGAATTTCACGTAGAATTCAAACATGCAATCATATACAGGGTGTTCTATTTAAAATACCGATGTGCCCACTGGTTTAGAGTAGAAACAGCAACACCGCATAAACAAAAATATTTTTAAAGTGTAGATTATGGTTGTTTATCTCGGTTGCCAAATTTTCAAAGTGATCCGTTTTTTAGTTTTCCATTAACATATATTGACCCGAACAGTTTCTGGATGTATGTGGGATCGAGGGGAGACTCTAGGGGCATTCCATCTGAAATGAGGTACAATAATGTTGCAGTTGGTGAACCGAATGATATAGCGAATGCCTTTGCAAAGTATTTTGAATCTGTGTACGAGTGCTCTTCTGCTGAAAGAATTTTTGACTATCAGGGTACCTTTCAATTCTCATTGATTACTGAGGAAGTTGTTATGACAGCCATAAAAAAACTAAAACCAAAGAAAGCAACAGGTAAGGATGATATACCTGCATACTTATTCAAGGGTTATGCCGAATATCTTGCTAAACCATTAACTTCAATTTTTAATTTAGCCCTTAAACAGAATACGTTTCCTTCCAAATTGAAAGAGTCTATAGTTACACCTGTCTTTAAGTGTACAAACAAAATGAACATTGAGAATTACAGACCAATTAGTATCATAAATTCACTAGCAAAAATTTTTGAATCAATTCTTTATGATGATATTCTTGAAAACTTTAAACATTTATTTGCTCATCAACAACATGGATTTTTACCTGGAAGATCCACTGTTACAAATTTATGTATACTGGCAAATAGTATAACCGAGGCACTAAACAGCAAGATTCAGTTAGATGTCATTCTGACGGATTGTGCAAAGGCTTTCGATAAAGTTAATCATGGCATCTTATTAGAGAAGCTGGGTAAATCAGGCTTTTCTCTAAAAACTCTTTTATTTATAAACTCCTATCTCGAATGTAGATACCAACAAGTTAAGGTCGGTAATTGCTTATCTAAACCCTTCCTGGCAAGTTCTGGTGTACCACAGGGAAGCAATTTGGGGCCCTTATTTTTCGCTTTTTTTTATAAATGATCTACCCAGTTGTGTCACGCACTCTTCAAGCTTAATATTTGCTGATGACTTCAAGATCTTTAAACCTATCGCCCAACCAGAAGACAGTTTACTGTTGCAGGAGGATCTGTGCTCTGTTTCTAGATGGTTTGAAAATAATAAAATGACTTTAAACATGGATAAATGTGCAGTAGTAACATTCACTAGTAAACACAGTATTTATGAACACCCTTATCAACTGAATGATTTCGAATTAAGTAGAAAATGCGAGTTTGAGGATCTGGGAGTACATTTGCAGGCTAATTTCAGTTTCAATAATCATTATAATGTTATAGTTAATAAGGCCTATAAGATGCTAGGCTTTGTGATTAGGAGCACAAAGTTTTTTAAAAATATCAGCTCTCTGGTTAAATTGTATAATGCATTGGTCAGGCCACATCTTGGATATGTTGCAGTAATTTGGTCACCTCAAGCCGAGGTCAATATAAATCTTATTGAAAAGGTCCAGAAAAGATTTCTGGGATTATATGTCCGAAAAAATAATGCTTATCCATATATGGTATCATACAAGAGTATGCTGGATAGTTTCAATATGGTAACTTTAGAGAAAAGACGCCAGTATCAGGCTGTATTGTTTATATATTATATTATCAATAACATCAAATACAAAGATATCTTTCTAGTCAACAGTATAAAAATACTAGTACCTAAGATTAACCTGAGGATAAACAGTAGGAAGTTATTTTCTGTTGATAAGATGGATTGTTCAGTTATCAACAGAATGCTTAAAGAGTGTAATGACTTTATTGAAATGAGCAACATAGACCTATTGAACACTGATCTCAAGGCTATAAAAGCAACATTTTATACCTAATTTGTAACACTCTTTCTTTCGTTAGTGATATTAGTTTTTAAGTTTTAAAGTTTTATTTATTGCTAATTGTTGTTTTTTGTAACTAGATTTAAGATATTTTAAAGCACTCTCTCTCTCTTACTTATAATTACTATACCAATTGTGTTTGTAAGAGTAACCTAAATAAATAAACATCTGATACGCCATCCAACGTGGGACACCCTGTATATTGGAATCAGAATGAAATATATTATCAAACAAGCTAAAAATTTACTGGGTATTTCATTAAAAAAATGCTATTTGTGCACATAACTGTCAAAATATATTAGTCTTTTGTTTTTTGTCCACCCTATCTAAAATTTGGAAACCAAGCCTACAGTATGTTTTTTTATTTATTTAAATAACTTTAAAAATTAGGAAATTATGACAGTTTGAAAAGTTATGAAGATAAAATGACCACACTGTACAGGGTGGCCCAAATTTGGATCATCATTGGGATCTCCGTAACCGTAAGAGATACGGGGTCGGTTAAATTATGGCAAAGTTGCGCAATTTTATGACCAATAGAGTGCCGTTTTGAAACTAGAAAGATTCCGAATACTTCCGGAAATATTCGGAAAAAACCGAAATTTAGTAAAATCATTTTTATTTTTTCCTCGGCTTATTTGAAGAGACATTTTAAAATAAATGTTACTTTATCGTTGTCACTTTTTCCCCTTTAAAAGATGGCGCTACTAAATTTAAAATTCGACGTTTTGTCTTCAGGCAGCCATCCTCAACTTCCTTTTTTTAAATACGGACCCGGATTTTTTATTTGCGATTTTGTCATCTTTGGGCATCCTAAAACCGATACTGTTGATAATTTTTCAATAACAGTGAAAAAAGCAGGTCCGTATTTAAAAAAAATAAATTGATGATTTCAGAGGAACGAAACGTTGGATTTTGAATTTAATACCGCCACCTTGTACAGTTTTTGTATAATAAATTACGAGATAAATTGGAATTTTATTCAGAATTAAAAAATAAGTAGGTACCTATAGAATAATAATAATAAACATACAAACTATAGGATGTGATGTTTGTTTTCAAGTACATATAATGGTTTATTTTTCTGGTCCAGTAATGTGAAACTTGAGGTAAAACTTTTGTGTGTAGCCTAATATAGGTATACATTACCATAATGGCATTACTGAAATAACTGCCATGCCATTCTGAAGGCAGTACGATGGTATCGGGTCTTCAAAAAAAAAACCAATCAAAGATTGCTATGGTTTTTTGAACGTATGTCTTAGCAATATTTTTCTTTAATTTTGACAATGTCAGTCAATGAAATTTAATGTCAAAATGTCATGTCAAAAATCTTGACCAATAAACTGTGTGACTGTGTGGACCACGGCCTGCTTTTGCAAAAACTTCAATCCTACGGAATTCGTGGTAACTGTTACTCATTATTAAAATCATATCTCTGTAATCGTAAACAATATGTGCAATGTAATGGAGCTATGTCTGACCAGTTAAATGTTGAGGTTGGTGTACCACAGGGTAGTGTTCTTGGTCCCCTCCTATTTCTCATGTACGTGAATGATATATCGGATATCTTGACATCTTTGCATTGTGAATTTGCTGATGATATTACACTTTTATCTTCTGATCTCAATGAACAAATTATGAAAAAGGGTTTGACAGATAACCTGCATTTTTTATCTAATTATTTTTGTAATAATAAACTGGTGCTTAACCAGGCAAAGACTTACACAATGCAATTTCATCCTTATGAGGCAAATTACAATAAAAGTCAATACATTCTCTTGAATGGCAGATCAATAAGGCAGGTTAATACTGTGAAACTTTTGGGTATCCATGTTGACATGTCATTAAACTGGAGAGAGCAGATAAATTATGTATGCAATAAGTGTGCAAAGAGTTGTTTTGCTTTATATCGTCTGTCTCAAATAACAAGTAGAAGCACTGTAAGAATGTTTTATTTTTCAATTATTGAATCATGTATTAGATATGGGATTGTGCTTTGGGGTGCAACCTCTGCTTCACAGAGAGTCTTTATAATGCAAAAAAGGGCTATTCGATTAATGTATAATATGAAGTTTAGGGAATCTTGTAGACAAAAATTTATTTCTGAAAAAATCATGACTATGCCTTGTTTATACATTTTCGAAATCTTGAAATTTGTAAGGGATAACTCAAATGCTTTTAAAGCTCTAAATCTGCATCATGATTACACAACTAGATTTGGACTTGATTATCAATATGACGTTCATCGTCTTGAGCTTTACAAAGCAAATCCTTACTACATAGGGGCTATTTTGTATAACAAGATACCTATTAGCAAACGTCAATTAAATCAGAATGAGTTCTTATGTTTTATTAAAAATATTTTATTGGAAAATGCATTCTATACAGTGGAGGAGTTTCTAAACTTTACGCAGTGGAAGATATGAAAGAATACTTCATAAAAATTGTAATAGGTATATTATTTGATTATTCTTATGCTTATTGTTATAAATAGGTATTTAATTATTTATAATGTTACGTTATTGATTAGTATGTAATGCAAATTTTATCTGTAAATATTTTCCTATATCCTGTATGTGATCCTTGGAAATAAACATCTATCTATCTATCTATCTATCTATCTATCTATCTATCTATCTATCTAAACAAACAATAATGCGATGTACGTTTTTGTAACCAAAGCAATCTTTGATTGGTTTTTTTTTGAAGACCCGATATTACATTGGAATGGGCTCTTTCACTAATTTTTGAAATTGGCATATTTGGATAAAGCAACTAAAAACAGAATTTTCTGTATTTTTACTTTTGAAAAATTCATAGTCCTTCTTGAGAAAACAGAAAAAAAAGAAATACCTCCAAATAAAAACCCAGAATTTATTTCTATGACGTCGCAGCTCGCTATTTGACCGTGTTGCCACTAATTATCAACATTGAAAATTTGTAATAGATTTAATTCTGAAATGTTCCCAAAATATCATGAAAAGTAGTTAAATTAATTAGTTATGGATTCAAGATTTTATAACATTTTTATTGAAATTATGCTTAAACACAATTTAATATAATTTTCTATGTTTAGTTTTATTTATTTATTTTACGTTGCACTACATTTAGTCACCACCGACAACAGCGCATTCGAACCTTTACCTGCATTTACTACAGGATAAATACAGCAGAGGCGGACAGCTCTTTCCAACAACAAGCGAAATGAAAAATATTTATGCGACGTCAGCAAATCGGCGCGTTTTTAAATAATTCAAATTTTGGTAGTTTAAAATGCCTGTAAAAAACTTATTTAACCTTGTAGAACATTTTTTTTTGGTATATGTGCCTAAAATAGTCCCTCCTTTGGGATTTTATACCTAAATTACGTATTTAAATTTTAGTGAAAGAGCCCATTATGTTGAAAAAGCATTTAATGCGTAATAGGTACATGTAAAAATTTTGGTCCAGTTGTTACCCCCTCACAAAATTGTACATTACCCACATGTAAGCCCCGTACATTGAGTTGTTCTGTAGCTTTCCAATGCAAGACCAACTTTTTTTTAGATTTTGAACTTTGAATTTACACAACCTTGTAACTTTTATCTTCTCCAGGATGTCATATCACTTCTTCAAGCAGCATACCTTTACACAAATTTCTAGTTAAAACAAAAGGATCCAAATTATTCTTGGAAATAATTAGTCCCAAAACTCTAATTCAAATAGCGCTCTAACTCAACTTTTAGCAATATAATTTAAAACTATAAATAGCAATTTAGCTCCTCAATTGAAACAAGGTCTTACATTCTGAAGAAGGCATAAAAATTGTCTTGAATCCAGTTTTCTTCTTTGTCTCAATATCTTCCGTGGGCTGAACATTTTTATGTCCTGTTGAAATTTGCTTCATAAAAGACTCAAATTTGTTTACCAAAGCAGCAGTGTATGTTTATGTTGATACATAAAATTATCTAAATACTATAATGAGAATAATGTGGTATTCTATTTTTATCCAAGTTGTTTTAAGTTGCTGTAAATTCCTATTCCTGCTATATGCCTTTATTAGTCCTAGTTCTAAGCCCAAAAGTTATAAATAGATATGTTAATGGATTTGCAATCAGATTAGAAATTTAATCCCAAAATATTGATAACTAAAATGATGGATTATGATAAGTTTTTGTGAAGTGAGACAAATAATTAACCACAGCCTCTAATTAAACGTATTTTCCAGGAAAATATTCGATTTTAATTAGGATGTTTTCGACCCAAAATAGAATTAATTTGACTTGACAGATGCCTATTAAAATCGAATATCCTGTGAAATTAGTCGAGGAAGCCGAAAAAAATCGATAGGACCGTAAACTAGAAACTAAACTGAATACAATTAACAATAAATAGTAATTGAAATAAATAAATACCTTCTAATAATCGTTGAATTAAACTATCGACATTTAGCTGATTTAGCTCAGGCTCTGCCATTTTTTCACACTTTTGTTATTTTGACAATTGACATGACAATTGCGTACTCTTTCGTTCCTTTTCTAAATTTTTTTCCTCTCTCTTGATAAAGGTGCTTTCCAGTGACCCCTTTGAGTTACTCCGGAACAGCATGGGCAAGAGTGCTCCGCAATTACTTCGCTCGTTCCAGTGCAGTGTCATACACTTAAACTATTCATATCTGTTATTCCCTGCCTTCTCGTGCACCTACCACTGTTTCGGGTTTCATGCTCCGACAGTCCAAAATGGTGAAATTAAAGAAAAATGAGGTTCATACGGTTTTGACGGTTTCTTATTCTTCGGGGTCAGACGTCACAAGCTACCACCCACCACACGAGAGCGTTCCAGTGCTGCTTATGTTGAACAGTTCAAGAGCGTCACACTCGGAGCATGATACTCTAACAATTTAGGGCCGGTTTCTCAATAGCAAGTCACCCCCGGGTTAAGCACAACTAAACATTGCAACTGGACACGTTTAAGCCTAGTCTCCATAGACGCGAAATCGCGGAAAGCGAATTTTTTAAGTGTGCTTTTTTGGTGGCTATTTCCGAGCAAATTATTCCCATGTCTCCATAAGCGCGAAATTCGCGTTTTATTTAACAGGTTAAGGTTACCTATGTGTTGTTGTTTGTAATCAATTTGAATTCGATTTAAATGCTTTGAATTTCAAACACTAATCTTTGAAAACCATGAAAGTGATTACTGAAAAACAAAAAAAGATATGTGTCTTGGTGTTGTCTTAATTACATTTAAGGCCCTATTATAATCTTCCTCATCAACCAGCAAGCTGTAATTTATGTCTGTTTTCGGGTCTACAATATTCAATTCTTTGGCAGTATCCATTCTTTATTAGGTATCTACAAGTACAAAACACATCAACGACTCACAGAGGACAGAGCACATACCGACAAAAACATAAACAAAACTAAACTGAAAGTAACACCACATAACCTCATTTTTTTTTGGCGAAATTTCGCGGAAAGTTAAAAAATTGTTAACTTTTTTGCGACGCCGCAAGAAGTTAAAAAATTCGCGAATTTTTCCCGCCATAAAAAAATCAAATGTTAAATGTCAAATTCCAACCAATCGGAAAATATCCGCAAAAAAAAATTCGCGATTTCGCGTCCATGGAGACTAGGCTTTAAGTAGCTTGTTAGTTAATCTCAAATTATTGTTAAAATTATTAAAATGGTATTAAAAGAAAAAACAGGAAAATAAAGAGATTCACCCAGAACAGAACTTTGTTAGTGTAATTTAATCAATTTTGGAGTAAGTCTTATAGCGTATTTCATTAGTAGACCAAGTGCGACACTGGTGCAATATTCGTGATCCATTGGTAGAGTTTGAGCTGCACTTTTGGATTTTATTGGGAAAGCAATGCACTGAGTTTTGCTCTGACTGATGTTGATGTGCCACCGGCTAAAAAGCTCGTGTCGCACTCAGTGTAGTTGTTTATTGTTATTTTTGAAATTGAACTTATTGGTGATTAATGGTTTTTCATTAAAAAACAGTCCCAAATTTAATTTTTTTATGGTGTTTTTTATATTTGTCTGCGAATCTATTACCAAAAATGTCAAAAATAGCTTGTTGATGGCAATTAATTTCCTTGATGGAAAGTAGCAGCAGCAGTGAAATCAGTGAATGAAGAATATTTAGGGCCTTTAACACAGAGGGAAAACCTTTTTCTTTTAAATTAATTGAATTATATTAATTATTTATAAGCACAAGTATAATTTTTTTGACGCATATGGGATGGTGCAACCTTAGGTGCAACACGATGATGTCTCAGGGACTGCACGCGTGCAGTGATTTTAAAGTGTCAGTGCAAAATGAGTGTTGCACTTGCTCTAACAATGAAATACGCTATGTTAGCTGGGTTCGGCTATTCAGCGCGGAGTTGGAGTGGAGTGAACAGAGCTAATGGAGTCAGCCCTAATACGGTAAAAAGCAATACCCGAACCTTAACCCGAACGGCTAGAGTGCGAATGGAGTCACTCCGAGTGCACGGAGTGAGCAAGCCGAACCCACCTTATATAGCCGCTTTCGGGTGCACAGTGCGAAGCTCTTAGAACACTTCACACCTGTCATAATGCTGTCATACTCCATGCGTTTTGTACTCGAACGCTAAAAACCGAACGTGTCAAACTGTAGCCGGAGAACTTCGGAGTAACTCAGGAGCGCTCAGAGGGTGGCACCCGAAAGCATCTTATACAAACAGCCTCGACTCCGTTGTTTTTATGGTCGTTTGCACCCAAGAACCCTTTTCACGTGGCTCCGGTTTAACAAACCGCAACATACCGCTCGAATTCGAGTGGTAGGTATCCATCACGTTACTTTGTAACCGGGTTAGAAAACGGTATGTCATTTCTCTAACCGTTTTGTAGCCCGGTTAGTTAAACCGGAGCCATGTGAAAAGAACTAAGGAGAATACACTCTAATGCCGGTTTTCCACTGAACGGACTGTCGAGTCTGTGTTTTAAAACAAAAATCAAATTAAAATAAACACAAAACTCTTGTTTCCATCAAGCGGACTACGTTCTATTTTCTCGGAGAAACAAAACTCCAACTGTCTCAAAACACGCTATAGTCCAGGAGGTGGCGCCAAAAACATGCAAGAGTTTTCGCAAGACGGATATTTTCAAAATAGGTCGTACTTTAGTGCTAGAATGCTAGTGTACAGTCAGCACTCACAGTTCCGGGACAGCTGGCTCTGGGACGCGGATAAAGTTGTAATTTTAAGAAGCATTCAAACTGTTTTCTCAAAGCTCAAAATTTATAGAAATTTTGCACCTTATCTGTTTGAAGGTCACAGATTACGTATGTATGGTCAGACGTCTAGTTCGTTGCAAAAAGGGGGTCAGACATCCTCAAAGTTTCTATTTTATGGCATTTTCTTCAAATATATTTGTCAAATACCTGAAAAAATATATTTTGACAGGACACCGAAGAAAATGCCATAAAATAAAAACTTTGAGGACGTCTGACCCCCTTTTTGCAACGAACTAGACGTCTGACGATTTACATACGTTATCTGTGACCTTCAAACAGATAATGTGCAAAATTTCTATAAATTTTGAGCTTTGAGAAAACAGTTTAGATGCTTCTTAAAATTACAACTTTGCCCGCGTCCCAGAGCCAGCTGTCCCGGAACTGTGAGTGCTGACTGTGCACTAGCATTCTAGCACTAAAGTACGACCTATTTTGAAAATATCCGCCTTGCGAAAACTCTTGCATGTTTTTGACGCCAGCTCCCCAATTACTAGTCTTGAAAATGTTTGAGAAAAGTTTGAGTTTGGGTTTTGCTTTTGTTTTGTCTGTTTGGTGGAAAACCGGCATAAGGAGTGCTTATCGGCCTCGTTTTTGGTAATCGCCGTCATATTGGTTTCCAACAGGGTTGGAAACGTAGTTAATGTAACATTAATTACATGATTAACTACCGTAGTTATTGAGGATGACTACATCAATTTTTTAGCATAACATTAACATTAACTACATAACCTTTAACTACATTTTTTTTTATATTTTCGAACATTTTCCAAAGCTATTTTTCATAAAACTATTGTTATTGGAAAAATTTGAATATGATGGTAGTTTATGGGATGAGCCATGCATGGCACGAGTCCGTGCGACAGGGCTATAATATCTTCATTGATAAAGGAAATAAAACAAGAAAAATCTTATTACAAACGTTTTTATTTAACTATCTCCTCATTATTTAAGAGGAACAAGTACCGTTACAGTCCAGTGACTTTTGTAAGGTTAGAAAATCAAAATGACAGAGGAAATCAACCAATTCAATTAGATCATTAGATACATCAACAACATTAACTACCTTGAATTGGCTACATTTAGAATTAATTACGCAGTAAATGTAGTTTATGTAGTTAATGTAAATAATATAAAAAAGTCGCTACATTCCCAACCCTGGTTTCCAACCATTGCCGACGTCATAACTAAGTCGTCAGCTGTTTAAACAGCCTATGTCAAGGCGAGAAACGCTATGCTAATGCTTACGTCACAACTGGTTTGGCGTGGTGTGAAAGGGGGGGATTTGTTACACACAGGCCTTATGAGGATAGGCCATCCTGTCTGTAGTAGTAGTGTGTATCATACTTGGTTTGCACCGACCATTTTAACGTCACTTTACCGCAGTCCTTATATTCAAAATAGTTTCCGAGAAAATTCCTTATGAAGATAAATTATGCAGGAACTTGTTACGTCACAACCGCCGACCGAAATCGCAGTCTTCTGTTCGTTCAGTCGTCAGTGAATCGTACCCTATACTTGAGTGGTTGCAATTCGCTCTAGTAAGATAATTGTCTTCTGTTTTGGAAAATTCTTACACGTGTTAATTAATACTGTGCCTGATAATTTGGTGTGACGTCACCAACACCTAGTTGTAACTTTAAACCGCCCTTACTGGAAAACGGACCATCGTAGCAAGATGCGGTTCAAATATTTATTCTTAGATTTTTTGCACTAAGGGCGGGTATTATAAAACTGCTTTGACAGTTAACTTGAAGTTAACTTTTTGAATTACATGTATTTTCAGAAGTTAACTTTAAGTTAACTCTCAAAGTAGTTTTATAATACCCGCCCTAAAACGTCCATTTCTGGGCCGCACCCCCTTTCAAATGGTCGGTGCAAACCAAGGATGATACACACCTACAGGATTGCTTATCGGCCTCGTTTTTGGTTATCGCCGCTATATTGGTGTGTCACCATTCCCGACGTCATAACTAAGTCGTCAGATGTGTAAACAGCATACGTCAAGGCGAGAAATAACATGCTGTCCACGTCACAACTGGTGATTTGGGCCCTTGTGGGAAGGGGGAATTTGTTCCACACTGGCCTTATGAGGATAGGCTATCCTGTAGTGGTAGGTTGTCAAGGATGGTACACACTACTACTACAGGATGGCATAAGGTGCTTCCTTTTCAGAGCTTTGAAACCCCGGGCATCTGTTCCCTGTAAATCGGGGGCGACTAAACACCGGAGCGAGTAGCTCGAGTGTTTCAAACTCTTGAAAGGAATACAACTATTATAATTATCTGACACTAGTGACAGTTCGGACACTGGAGCGGTGGAGCTTCGACGCCTCTCTGAGGCGCTAGCGTTGGGGATAGACGACCTCGGGACTTGACGCCCCAATAAAAATAACGGTTGACACATTTCAAAAACGTGACCAAGGACGCCCTGGGGCACCCAAGCTCGTGAAAAGAAATCAGCTTTATCCTCATAAGGCCAGTGTGTAACAAATTCCCCCCTTTCCCCCTAACTAAAATACCAGTTGTGACGTAGGCAGCATGTTATTTCTCGCATTCTCGCCTTGACGTAGGCTGTTACGGATTACATAAAATCTAACCCAGAACAACAAGTTCACGTTTTCTTTCGTTGAAAATAGCTCTAGTGCAGTTTGAACCGACTCTTTGAAACGAGTGTCAAATGACTGTTGACTGTTCGCAATAGGGTAGATAGAAAAACGTTTATCGATATTCATAAGTATCGATACGATATTCTTTCAAAATCTCTCATCATGTCGATACGATATTTTCCCGATTTTTCCACATCAATCGGACCTCGGTCCGGTTCTTGAATTTGTCGAAATCAAGAAAATTCAAGAGCCTGGAATAGAAAAAACTTAAAAAACATGAATGTCAACATAAAAATCTACCATTTTTTCTCAATTTTTCTATATTTCTTCTCTAATTAATTCTCAATTTTCTCGTCTAAATTTTTGTCTATTCCCCTGAATTTTCGTCTCTTCTTCTAAATTTTTCTAAATAGAGAAAATTCAAGAGCTTCGAATAGAAACAACATACTTTGTGTACAAATTTTTTCTCAATTTTTGAATTTCTTTTCTCCATTTTTTTATCTCCTCTACTCCTAGCTTTTAAAACTTGCGTTTTCTTTTAAATTTGTCTAAATAGAAAAAATGTAAGAGCTGGGAACAACTCAATTCCCGGCTCTTGAATTTCACAAAAAAAAAAAAAAAACAAGAGCCTGGAATAGAAAAAATATGAATGTTCACTTCACTTGGTAGATAAGTGAACCCTTCCAGAACAGTTTTTTCCTAATTTTCCTCACATTTTTCTCTCTCTCAAGTTTAACATCTCAATTTTTAATTTTTGTTTATTCCTTGCTCTTGAATTTGTCAAAATTTAAAAAAAAGATCTTGGAACAGAAAAAAACCTGAATGTCCACTCATCTACAAAACTTTTCTTACATTTCTTCTCTCTATTTCTCAATTTTTGTCTATTCCCGGTTCTGGAATTTGCTTTTTTTTTTCTCCAAATTTCTCCAAAATAGAGAAAATTTAAGAGATTGAAATAGACACAAAATACTTTGTGTCTAGTTGTTTACCAATTTTTTCTCTCTATTCCTCATTTTTTCCAGCTCCATTCCATTATGTTCCATTCCTCAGCTCTTGAATTTCTAAAAGTTGAAATAAGGAAAATTCAAAGAGCCTGCGGGATTGTTTCAACAGCTGACAATATAAACCATTAGCCAATTACATGAAATGGTGGTGAATTTGAAAACGCAAACTAACAAAATAACATTTTATTATATAAAAAAGTATATACTTATTAGCTAACAGTAAAATCATCTAACAATAAAATAGATAAATGTTGTATATATATATATATAAATAAATTTTATAGTTTCAAGAGTTTCAAGCCTTTTTAAAAAAAATTAAATAAAAATCGTCTACATCCCATTATAAGCGGGCCCGCCGCCGCCTTCTGGTACCACCCAGTTGATATTCTGACTAGGATCTTTAATGTCGCAAGTTTTACAATGAATACAATTTTGTGCGTTAATTTGTAAACGTTGACCCTCGCCCGATTCCAATGGAACAAATTCGTAGACACCTAAAACCATTAAAAATAAAATACCTACTTGTAATAAATCATGTTAGAAATTTTTTACCTGCTGGACAAAATCGCCCTTCAGGTCCATCAAAAACCTCCAAATTGTTTGTAACTGGCACAGTGTCGTCTTTCAAAGTTAAATGAGCCGGCTGATCGCCTTCATGGTTCGTGCCCGTCAAAGCGACTGAAGTTAGTAAATCGAAACTAATCTTGCCATCAGGTTTGGGATAATCAATTGGTTTGCACTCTTTGGCAGGTTTCAACCTCTCATGATCAGGCTTGCCGTGTTTAAGCGTCCATGGTTCCTTTCCGTTGAGTAACGTCGAAAATCCACCGTAAATTAACCCACCATACAAGCCTAAAGCTGTATGGAAGCTCGGTCGTATATTTCTTACCGATTTCAGTTCTTTATAAATCCAACTTTGGTTGAATTTTTCCTGGTAGCTTACTGGTTCAATGCTGACCGTTTGGTCAGAAATTGCCTCGTAAACGCTTTCAGCTGCCAGCATACCACTTTTCATAGCGTTATGGGTCCCTTTGATCTTTGGTAAATTGATAAGACCTGCAGCGCACCCCACCAAACAACCACCGGGGAACGTTAACTTTGGAATACTCTGAAAACCACCTTCTACAAGTGCTCTAGCTCCGTAAGACACCCTAGTTCCATCCTCGAAATAGCTTTTTATAGACGGGTGGTGTTTGAAACGTTGGAATTCCCTAAAGGGGCTCATGTAAGGGTTAGTATAGTCCAGCCCCACAACGAATCCGACTGCAATTAGGGGTGTATCATCGTTTAAATGGTACAAAAACGAGCCACCGTATGTGTTTTTGTTTAGGGGCCAACCAATAGTGTGTTCCACTCTTCCTAGAATGTTACTTAAATTTACTATTGGAACTAATAGCATAATTATATAAGATATTAACCAGACGAGGTCAGTCAAATGCTCAACTTATGCTCTACGACCTTACAAAGGGAAACTAGGAATTGGAGACAGGAGTGGATGAATGGAAGAGACGTCGCAGAATTGGAAATTTTGATGATAGTCTAGGATATTTAATTAATTAATTTTCAAACCGTCAAGAAACTCATATATACCTGGCCTATGTTTTTCCGGATTAATCTCCCACAATTCCTTCAAACCAATCCCATAAGTCTGATTTTCCGCATTCTGCCTCAAATTAAACTTTTGGATAATTTGCTTGGACAAGTGTCCGTGACAGCCTTCGGCAAAAATGGTGCATTTAGCGTGTAGCTCCATGCCTCGCTCGAAGTTGTCCTTGGGACTACCATCTTTGGCCACGCCCACATCGTTGGTTGCTATACCTTTAACGCTACCGTCTTCGTGGTATAGAATTTCCGACGCTGCGTAGCCTGGATAAATTTCCACTCCCATCGATTCAGCTTGTTCGCCCAGCCACTGGACTACATGGCCTAGTCTTACGATGTAATTACCGTGATTGTACATTGGAGTACCTAAATGTTAGTTATTTTATATGGGTGTAACAATAATAAATAAATTTCCAAAAAGCTAACAAATTTCTCACCAGGTATTACTGGAATAGGAATGCGACCTGAGCCAGTCAAAAAGGCAAATTTATCCTCAGTTACAGGAGTTTTTAGAGGAGCCCCCTTTTCCTTCCAGTCAGGAATCAGTTCATTTAGGGCAGTAGGTTGTAGTACGGCTCCAGATAAAATGTGCCCCCCTACTTCTGAGGCTTTTTCTACTACACAAACCTACAAAAAATTGCTTTAAGACTCAGAATCATTTCAAAATACATTCAGAGGAAAAAATAACTTTTGAATAGTTGTAGTTACCCTCAGTTCTTTTCCATCTTTTTCAGCTAATTGCTTGGCTCTAATGGCAGCACTCATTCCTGCAGGGCCTCCACCGACAATTAAAATGTCTGTTTCATCAACAAATCTTTCCATATTCACATCTGGGGAAAAAAAAGGCGTTGAAAGATAAATAATTTCGATCATGGCATATTTAATTGAATCACTTACCTTTCCATCTCGGATCCTTTTCCCTGGGATGAATGGTATAGTGTGTAGTGATTTTAGGAAATTGTTCCGAATAGTATCTTTTAAAGTATTTGATTTGTTTGACTGAAAAAAAAATTCCAATAAGATTAAATCAAATTGAATCATCTATTTATAATGCCAGTAATCACAAAGCCAAGTTTATATTGTAAATCTATGGTGAGTAAAATGATTAAATAAATAAATAAAAATAAAAATGCATATACACGTCAAATAGTTATTTGCCAAGGCCTCGAAATGCCTTTTTAGCGTACGTAGAGAAAAGTTATCGCCGAGGCCGCTTGCGGCCAAGGAAAGATAATCTTGAGGATGCTAAAAAGTTTCGCGGTAAGGTAGGTACAGGTAGGTACTTAAATTGAAATATAAACTACAAAGGCATAAAACAAATCATTTAAGCTTTGAAGCAATTTCAATTTTCAAGCTAATCTCTCAATAATACTTTCTTATGGGATTTTGTGGAAATTTGATTTTTCCCAAAATGACATCGACGCACATTTTGCCACACAACTTTGGTAAATTCAATCCGATCTTAACATAATTGGGCTCAAATTAGCTTCAATAGTTTTGTAGGTAAGAAGACATCGACGCACATTTTGCCACACAACTTTGGTAAATTCAATCCGATCTTAACATAATTAGGCTCAAATCAGCTTCAATAGTTTTGTAGGTAAGAAGCACAAAATCATTTGACTTTGATTTTTATTAGGGTGAGACAGAAGGATTTTTTTTTCTAAGTTTCGAGTGTTTCTCTCCATTTGCGGAATTACACAATCTAATTCTTCCAAAAAAAAACGGCCATTATAATTTTCTGGAAATTTTAGGAAGAAACTTTTCATTTCTTTCTCCCAAATTTCAATCTTTTCTCGGATCCATTTGCGGAATTTTATTCTACTGAATTCCTTAAACGTTTTCGCTGAAGAAATAATAAAACTTTCCTCATCATCAATGTAATTTTTTAGAAATTTAAGTAATTTTTCCCAAAATGACATAGATGCATATTTTGCATCGCTTTGTTAAGTTCAATCTGATCTTAATGTAATTAGGCTCAAATTAAGGTCAATTGAATCCTCTACAAATATTGTCACAACCCCTATATGTTTCGACCTGGGACGTCACAACAGGAGCGTGACTTGGGGGCGTAGGTGGGGTTCAGGTAGAGAGAAACTCGCTTGGTATAGGTAAAATAAGATGTGTATTGAAAAATAATAGCTATTACCCTAGGAATGGTATCATGACGTCTCTTCTACAGAGGGACGTACTACTTAAGGGCCACTCTGTATTAATTATGTACCCTCTGTACACTTGGCGTGACTGAAGACTGAAACTAGGTTTGAGATAGGTCCAGAAGGGCGTTTCCCATTAAAGGTAGTTTGCACTGGACCTAGTCTGCTGCGTTCAATACTCCCAGAGGGGCGTTTTCCATTAAAGGTTGTTTGCATTGGGAGGAGACTTAGCTAGAAGGGCTTTTCCCATTAGAGGTAGTTCGCACTAGCCTTAGTCTGCCGGTAATGGATTTCGGCGCTGTATTTATACCAAATAAATGCTGACTCGTCGACACACTTTAGTAAATTTGATGTACAGAGTGGTATTTACTTAAGTAGTTGACAATATTTAGGGAATATTGTAATTCCAATGGAAAAATATTTTGATTTTCAACAAAGGTGAGCAAGCCGATTTTAACATAATTAGGCTCAAATACCTAAATCTTCTATGAATCTCAGTTATTGTCTCAATGCAGCTTCAACAGTTTCGCCGCTGTCATGATTTTATCTCATGATCAACCTCAAAGAGCGCCAATAGAGGTTTGAACTTTTTAATATGTGCCTTAGTTAATTTTTTTTTAGTAAGTGAAGAGGCTACATGCTACTTTGAGGAATAAATTGGGAAAAAATTGGCATTTACTTATTTATATATTTATGTACCTATAGGTCTGGATAAATCTAAAATAATCCAACTTAAAACAATTCTATTGGCCTGCGTCTTCAATTTATCTTGAGATAAACTAGAGGAGTCAAGAACCTCATAGATCTTATTCGCATTGGCAGATATTCTATTGTTTATCTATATTTAGTTGTTGATATTCTATTAACAGGACTGAATAGTGAGTAACAAGTTCGACAATAAGGAATGTGCAGTAAAGATTCATTTTGTGACTGATAACTTTTAGTATGTACCATCGTCACCAAAAGTATCTGGGACAAAAATAATTTATATTAATCTCCTGGACTAATTCTACCATCATTAATTTCAATGCATTTAAATCATAGTTTGACAAATATTTGACACTAAAATTCATATAATAGTACAAGAGCTAATATGATGCTGTCCCAGTTACTTTTGGTGACAATGGTACATAAAAACATTTAAGACATTCAAGGCTTTTTACGTAAGTAAACATGCTAGTTAAGGATATTTACAGCAAAACAGACATCAAAGCAAGCATCAAAGTATTTCCCTTCTGCGAACAAGAGTAGTCTCAAGTAAGCCATAGTTTGGTCATCTTTGAGAATCACACCACTCAGATAAAGTTTGTACCTTGCAAACTTGATAAATTTGTGTTGAAAACTCTCAAGTTTATTGATCTGATAGTAAGGTGACCAAACTATGCATGAAAATTCAAGAATGGATCTGACTAGGGGTTTGCAAAGAATTTTGGTGAATATTCCTTTTGTAACTTTTTTTCTTGATATTACAGTAAGAAAAAAAGTTATAAACCAAAAAATTTTCTTCACATTCCTGAAAAAATGGAACCCTATCATTTAATGCTAGATGGAAACATATTTTTCCTGGACTAATAGGCACAAAGATCTTTAATGAAACTTCAACAAGGAAACATGATTTAAGCAATACTGAAAGGGAACTGTACAGGTGAGTCTACTGAATCTTATACATACAACAACACTTATCCATGTTGAGGGACATGTTATTAAGCGGATACCAATCATAAACAATGTTGAGATCGTTTTGCAGAATAAGTATGCCTTGAGCTGAGCTGACGTCACCTGACGATATATTCTCAAGTCATCAGCGAAAAGTAAAAAATTCGAGCAGAACAAAAATCCTAAATCATTGATAAATAAGCTGAATGGAAGGGGGGTCAAGTGAGAGCTTTAGGGTACCCCAGAGGATGCATGGAAAAGAGAAGAAACATAGCCATTGCTCTTCTCTTGTTTGTTGTATTCTGTTAGTAAGGTGAGATTCCATTCATGGAAGTAGAGGTCCAGAAACGTCATAACATGTGAGCTTCGAAAGTCAATATACAATGTGTCCAAGATAATGAGGGCCAGTATGGGGATCTTGGAAACAGTTGCTCAAATTAGGAAAAAGTTGCGAAATTTTGTGCTCATTTAAATAGCGTTCTGATATTTTTTATATTTGTAAAACCTGAAATTCGCCCAAAACGATTTTATTTTTCCTGACCTTATTTGAAGAGATATTTCAAAATGAAGGGCACTTCGTCATTGCCACTTTTCCTCCTCTAAAATATGGCATTATGTTTGATCATTGTAATCCGACGTTTCGTCTTTGAGCCACCATATCATCAGATCCCCATACTGTCCCTCCTTATCTTGGACACATTGTATATTGCATGAGTTTCTGCATTGTTATCAAATGACGAAATTATAAAAAAATTTAAAGTGAAACATGTTCGTGTCAACATATCTACTGGCTGTAAAACTGTTCTGTTGACTGATCACAATCTGATGAAATATTTTTGAAAGGATTTTTTCAACACTCTGCTCAAATAATTCAGGAATTGCAGACAGGAAGCCGATAGGTCTGCACTTTGTTACATCATTCTTTCTGCCTGACTTGTGAATAGGACAAACATAAGAGAGCTTCCACATTTCTGGAAAAATTTCAGAAGTTGAGAATTTGTTAAAAATATTAAATAGAGGAAGATACAAGGCCTTCTCAATATCGGTTGGACCTATGACAATGCTTGAAACATCCTCAAATCGATTAGTAAAAGTTCTGGCGTTTGAATTTTGCTTATTTAAAGTAATCCACTTCACTATTCAACTATGTATGTCAGCAATTTTGTTTTGAAAAATCAGATTTTCTAATTCATAAGAAAACCAGATGGGGATTCTATCTAACAGTTTTGTCTAGATCCTCCATCATAATGGATCGCCCATCAGAGGAAAGAAAATATTCATTAATTAGATTTAAATTGGCATTTTTGAAGTCATCAGGAAAATAATCAAGGGGCTCAAGAGATTTAGCTTTATCAATGGAAAACTGATATTTTGGGGCAAAAGATAAGAAGATCACTGTGCTTGAGCTTACAAATTAGGAATGAAGTTACAAATTTTTTTAATGGAAAATTGCTTGAATAAACTTGAGAATAAACTCATTTATATTTTACCTATTTAATTGAAAAAAAAAAAACTAATCTTAATCTGAGGAGAATGAGGAAGGCGAGACTCTATGGATCACAAAAGAGATATTGAAGCGACATATTATCACACAAAAATTTACCTACAAATAAATAAGTGTTACAATTTTTTTTAATTATATCTTATTTCATTTACCCTGACCCTCGCTCTGACCTAAACAAAAATTTTTAACTCAAAAACTGCATGCAGTGCCAAATTGATGAGATGTGGGTTTGGAGAATGGAGAATCCATAGCATAGAGGCTTTGAGACGAAACATATTGAAAAACAAGGGGGTTGTGTCAAAATACCAAACAAATAGAATCAGAAAAAAAGCTCAAGTTCAAAGGTTATTTTGTTTAATTTTTCCATGTGACAAATATGATTTTGTTCATATACAAATAATATGAACAAGAGAAACATTAGATTAGAGGTTAAAATTTTAAAAAAGTTGTCAATTCAAAAAAACTCTTACTTACCAACTTTCATTGAATTGCCCAAATAATTAAAATTTAAACTCATTTTCAAGCAGTAAACTGTCAACAATTTAATTTAAAAAATTATAAACTAAAAAACATTTTTATATAGAAAACAATTCGAAAAATAAAAATAAAGACTGAACCATGACTGTCGACTAAACAGTCCAAAGGTCTCTAGATTATTTTTGTATTTATTTTTTGGTTCCAAATTCCAATTTAAAAACAAAATTCCATATGTTCACCTCCACCTTATCCTCAAACAGCGTTGCAAGATGTTGGTTGGAATCGTTGGGTTGGCTGAAGGTCATTATAATCTACACCATTCTACAATCTACATCCGTAGAATCCTTGATTGATTTATCTGTACTCTGCACTATAAATAATAAATGGCAATAGTTTTATTGCCAGGATTATTCAAATTTCAAATTGACCAATGAAATTGATTATAAATACAGATTTTTATTTTGCCGAATTGTTCCAATGATCGAAATAAGAGAGGGGTCGATGCCCATAGGATTTGATACGATATTTTTTCAAATTCTCTACTTCTTTTTCATATCCATAAATATGAGAAAATATCGATAATTTTGATTTTTTTTTTAGATTGCCTGGATTAAGAAATGAAAGTCCTTTTTCTTGCATGTCCACAGCTCGTAGGTTGGCTCGCAGTGCTCGTTTATTTCATAATTTATCATTTTGAAATTATCTGCACTGTAGAGGTGGGAAACTATCGGATGAAACTATCGATATATCGATAGTTTGTTGCAGAATTAGAAATATCGAACTATCGATAATTTTTCCTAGACTATCGAATACTATCGAATTTTGTATCATTAACCGTGCGTTCGTTATTTTGGTCTGAGTTCTCCGAGCTTGACTTTACCGTTCGTTTATTTAAAAAGTGTACTCGGTGCAGCCTCATTCGCGTTCGTTTATTAAAATTTCCGGTACTCTTATACAGCGTTCAACTGCTCCGTTCGCTCGCTGGTCACGTGATTACGGCTCCGCTCAGCTCGCTCTACACTTTGAGCAAAATACCGAACGCAAGGTAAATTGGTAACACTGAGCGAATTCTTTTATTCATCGATGGCTGTTGAAAGCAATATGAGACAGCCATTCCGATTTTCTATGAACTAGACAAAGATAGACAGGTCATCGATGGAGCCATCGGTGAATAAAAGAAAGCGCTTACTGACTAGGAGTGGTGACAGGTCGACAGCTGATGCTGAATTCTGACAGGAGTAACGGAATGAAAAATGGCCTACGTAGGGGGGCGCTTCCATTTCGCACCATTTCGGAAAGGTTATTCTCGAAGGCTGGTAATATTCTGACAGTTAAAAGAACCTAACTTGAATCTAAAAATATAAATATGTTGTTTAATCAAAATAAATGTTTGCTTTCTTAAAGCGTTGTAGTTAAATAATTATTTTTGTACAAATACTATTAGAATCTTCAATTTTCATTTCAGTTCTAGGTTATATTTTTAAACCGATAGTACTATCGATATATCGATAGTTATTCAACCACTACTATCAAACTATCGATAGTTTTTGAATTCGATATTTTCCCACCACTACTGCACTGCACTGGTAACAAATGTCAATGGTTTTAGTGGCGGAATTATTCAAGGCTGGGTTCCGTTTTCAACCGTGGATACGGTTACACGTTCCGTCTGAGACCGGTGGTTGAAAAACCGGTCTATACCGAACGCGGTTCCTAAAAATGCTTATGTCAAACATGTCATGTCACCGAGGCAACCGGAAGCGATTCTGCGATTGGAAAAGCGTTCTGTATGAAACCGAAATTTTTAGCAACCACTCTCAACCGACGTCGTACAGACCGATTAACCAGGTTTGGAAACAGAAACCACTTAGGTTGTTTGAGAGAGGTAGGTTACCATAACTTTATGACGTCATCTGGGGTGACTTAACATAATGCAACTCTCGAGGTAGTTGCCAGATAACTTTTATCACGACATAGGGTGCCTAAACGCCCTAAACATAATGCAAATCTCCATTAGGCCTAGTTCTCATATAGCGGAAAATCGCGTTGCGGGTGCGATATATCGCTTTCCGTTTAGAAGTAATTTTTGCCGGCTCACATGAAGCGAGATTCTGGATGCGGATTTTTAGTTATATTTAGGGTACTTCACATTATATTTTAGTGATTTTTATCTAATGTCATACCATACTTACATCTCAAAAAGTGAGAGAAGATAACAACTCACGCAAAAGTTGAAAATAGTTTCCTTTTACCGCTGCGGGAAAAAATTTGAAAATTCCGCATCCGCAATGCGATTATCCGCTCCACGAAAACTAGGCATTAGGTCCTCCTAATGACGTCATCTGTTTACCATGGTTTTATTCAATGACATCATTACGTTTCACCACCGTTTCACTATAGTGAAATGTCGTTGGTTTCATTGCGAAATTAGAGAGGGGTTTATCGATCTTCGTAGATATCGATACGATCTTAAATTTCCTGCCTCTATTTCTCAAATTTTCCAGATCAATTTTTCTCTATGTAGTCCCTGTCCGGCTCTTGCGAGTTTGTCGAAATAAAGAAAATTCAAGAGCCTGGAAAACAAAAAAACTTGAAGGTCTTCTTATCTAAAATTTTTTCTCAATGTTTCTACTTTTCTTCGATAGTTAAATCTCAATTTTTCCGTCTCAATTTTTGTTTATTCCCGTCTTTTCGTTTTCTTCTAAATTTTCGTCTATAGAGACAGAGAAAATTGAAGAGTTTGGCTCTTGAATTTATCAAAATTAAGAAAATTTAAGAGCGCCGAACAGAGAATATGAATGTTCACTTATCTCTCCTAGTTGTGTCTCAAATTTAAATTTTTGTTCATTTCCGGCTCTTGAATTTGCCGAAATAAATAGGTAAGATACCGTAATTCAATAATCTGGAATAGAAAAAAACATTAATGTTCTCTAAACTTGAATGTCTACCACTCTACCAATTTTCTTTCAATTTTTTTGCATTTCATAGAGTAGAAATGCAAGAAAATAAATTCTCAATTTTTCCGTCTCAATTTTCGTCTATTTCCGGTCTCCGTCCGCTTTTTTGACATAGTCCGGGAGGCAGTGAAATTTTTTAGCACTTATTTTCCCAGTTGGTGTAGGTATATTAAATAGTTTGTTCTCTTGTGGCCGTTTCCACCAACGCAAATTTAAGTTTACTTAACGTTAAGTGCCGCTTACATTATAATTTCTTTTCCACCAGTCTCACCTAGTCTCATTAAGATAAGCTTAACTAAGCCCAGAAATTTCTAGGCTTATTCCTCCCTTGAACAAAGTGGCGATGATCAGCGCAAGCCATTTGCATAATATGTTTTTGTTGACATAACAAACGTTGAAATTGAATTGAGATAAAATTAAATTTTTCTCAATTTTCTAATTTCTGGTGTAGTTCGCGTTTTTTTTTTTTTTCTTTTCTCCGAAAGCCTATTTTTTTCGGCCAGAGATACTCCGTGTTTTTTTTATTTTCGATTATGTTCTTATTTTTTGATGTTAACGATATTATCAGCTTTTTCCTTTATTCAGTGGCGTATTTACCATAAGGCCATAGGGCATGGCCTGGGGCGGTAGGGCTGCCAGGAGCGGCACAAGCCGCGTCCCCAACACTTAGGAATGCTATTTTAACAACAAAGCAACAAAATGAGTTTGAGGCAACTCAACATATTATTATTTAATAAGGAAAAGAATTTGAAGGAAGCATTTTCTCATTCAGAAATAGTATTAGGTACGTATGATTCTATGCACTGCAGTAAACTTTGACTTCCAGTGTTTCTTTTTTTGTTAAAATGTTTTTTCATTATTTGATTTATTTGGTTAAATTATAGGGCGGCAAACCTTTTAGGCCCAGGGCGCCAAATTTTAAAATACGCCACTGCCTTTATTGTATAGTTTTGTATAGTTTAGTGTCCGGCTTTTGTTGGATAAACTCTCCCTGTTTGTTTCTATTCCCCGACTCCACGTTGCTCTAGGTACTTTCGTGCTCGTTCACACACAATGCAGGATAAACTACCAATATCTAAACCTCTTCTCTGTGAAATAAACCGAACTCGGACAACAACAATAACTATCAATTAATAATTAGAATCTTATAAAAATTAGCGGGAAGCGTCGAATGACAGATAACATTGACACGACTAGTGTAAAAACGAAAAGTACGCAATTCTTTCACCTGAAATGCAATGTTGCCAAAGCTTTACGACACTTAGCTAAGCTTGTACTTAAAAACTATGGTGGAACGAAATTATATTTGAGTGTCCCTTAACTTTTAAGTGCTTCATAGTTAAGCAAAGCTTAGTTATAGTTTGGTGGAAGTGATACAAAACAAGAATATTTGAGTTTCACAAAAATTTTCGGATGGGTTCACTAGATCAATGAAAAATACAAGTAGGTACACTTATTTTTCCAGTCATAAATATTTCAGATCCACTACAATAGAACATAAAGTATATGAACATAGCAATTTGGCTTATCTCAGATAGTGAAAAGTTAGTCTGGCTGAAGTTTTTCGGATCTTCAATTTTTCACTTGCCAGACATATTCTCCATACTCACAGATTAGCCGGACTATTTTTTTACGTAACTTCAGTATACTTCTGATTAGTTGACTTATTTTATCACTGGAAAAAAAAAGGGCCGTGCATTCATAAGCTCTAACGCATTTCAAGCCTCAACCCATCGGAAAACCTCCCATAAAAATATATGAATTTTGCTTAGAATTACTAACCCTACAATTCTATCCATGTTTCGTGACTCGGAAAATAAGTACCGAAAATCGTCACTGCCTCCTAGACTAACATTGGTGTTTCCATTGACTGTTTCCAAAGGTTTCAAACCGGTTTTGAACCAATGTCAAAAAAGTGGACGCGATAAAACGGCTCAAATTATTCAAATTAGATTGTTTTAATTTTGCAAGATCCTTATCGATATGACGAATTCGTATCAATCCATATGCACCTTAATCCAGGGCGTATTGATGTATATACAGGGTGTACCATTTGAAACGAAACAGGCTGAATATCTAATGCCACACTTATTTTTAAAAAAATCGCTCGTACACGTAATTTGATTTTCAAAGGGGGAAGTTTTCTGCAACCATTTTAAGCTCTTCAACTTTAACCCTTCAGGGCGGAGTGGGACCAACCCTTACTATTTCAAATGGAATAAGGGGTTGAGTCATACCTCTCTTAAAAGAGCGTTCAATTCTTTAATTTGATGTCATTCGAAAGAAAATTGAAGGCTCTTTTAAAACAGGTATCACTCGACCCCCTGTTCCATTTGGAATGGTAAGGTAAGGGTTGGTCCCACCCACTGATTTCAAAAATAAATGGATAAACAAAGAACGCTTCTACTAATGCTGCTAATTTACGAGGTCATAATCTAAACAAAAACAACTGACTCGGACAGCTGTGAGCGTGCGCAGTAGATACATGATGTACTCTGTGTGCACAAAGTCTGGCCAATGAAAATGAAGGAATTTCAAAATATAGAACAGTTGTTCGGAAGATAAGACACTGCGCAGGCGTTAGGCTGTTCCGTTGCACAACTGTTCGTAGAATATTGACCCCAAATTTTCGCACAAATTTTGCGAATCAAGCCGTATGATTGTTTATCCATTTATTTTTTAGATCAGTGGTCCCACCCCCCTGGTAAGTTAGTGCTGAAAATGTTTCAAACACTCGCACAATGAAATTACGTGTACAAAACGATTTTTAAAAAAATAAAAGTGACATCAGATATTTAACCTGTTTCGTATGGTATACCCTGTATATCGATATATCGTTTCGATAAGCCCTTCTCTACTTTCTAGTCGAAATCTCAAATATACTTCGAAAACCTGCCGACGATTGCCTCAGCCAATGAACGTCTCAGCACATTTTTTATTTCATATAACCGAATTTGCTAAACACGTGAGCTGAAAAAAATATGGCACAACATGGGGTGCGATTTTCGAAACCATTCGAGTACAATTCGTACACGAAAGGACCTCGCACACCTCTTATGAGTTTTTGGTTTTCTACCAAACTCAATGAATCGATATGTTTTAGACATTGACTTCCTGATAAAAAGTTCTCATGGGCCCGAACCAATCCTATGATTAGTTTTTGAGATACAGGTACTTTAATGTCCAAGAAATGTGCACATTTTATATGCATTCACATCTACCTGTCACATAATAATAGGTCTGTTTCTACAGAAATCACAAAGCAGTTAGAGCAAATTTGATTGGTTAAAACAGTTGGAAAATTAGTTTCAACCAATGAAATTCACTCTGACTGGTTTGTGATTTCTGCAGAAACTGACTATTATTAGGTGACAGGAAGATGTGAATGCATATAAAATGTGTACATTTTTTGGACATTAAAGTACCTGTATCTCAAAAACGAATCATAGGATTGGTTCGGGCCCATGAGAACTTTTTATCAGGAAGTAAAGGTCTAACACATATCAAAATTTCATTGAGTTTGACAGAAAACCAAAAACCCATAAGAGGTGTGCGGGGTCCTTTGGTCCTTATTCTTGAAACCGGGTAGCAGCGTTTCCCGAGAACGAATGTTCCGTCTTTGTTACTCATATCATATTTTCAGTTGCATACCATTGAGAAAGACAGAACCCTCGATCTCTTGGGAATGCAGTTCCACTGTTTCAAGAATAAGGACCCAGGAAGGGTAGATTTTGACATTCTTCGAAAACTCTACAACAAATTATTAACTATAAATCATTAAAACCGTGCGTTCGTTATTTTGGTCTGAGTTCTCCGAGCTCGACTTTACCGTTCGTTTATATAAAAAGTGTACTCGGTGCAGCCTCATTCGCGTTCGTTTATTAAAATTTCCGGTACTTTTATACGGCGTTCAACTGCTCCGTTCGCTCGCTGGTCACGTGATTACGGCTCCGCTCAGCTCGCTCTACACTTTGAACAAAATACCGAACGCAAGGAAAGTGTCCACTAGTCCAGGTACTCCGGGTCCCATGAGTGAAATCATTGGGAGTAAAAATACAAAAAATTCAATTTTAATGCCTCATTATCACTTGCGCGAAATTCGCTCTTTTTTTGACATTGGCTGTTTTCGATTCGCTTTGGTCCGTCATCAAGGCAAACCAAATTAGAACCAACCATTTTCGATTGCAAACCGGTGACGTGACAGGCATCGCTTGGTCCGTCTAAATTCGAACCAGCTTCGCAAGTTGGTTCGAATTTTGGTTTGAATTTCGGTTTGCTTTTATAACCTTAAAACATGGCGCCTTTTTTGACAGACCAAATTCAAAAGATGTCAACCAACTTCTGTCACATCCGAACCAACCAAGGCCGAACCGATTGCGAATCGAAAACGGCCATTGCTTCGACAATTTAACGTTTATGCGTGTATCAAACGTCAAATTGTCGAAGCAATAGCTGTATTCCTTTCAAGAGTTTGAAGCACTCGAGCTACTCGCTCCGGTGTTTAGTCGCCCCCAATTTGCAGGGAACAGATGCGTGGTGCAGCAAACACTTTTCGAAAGGAATAAGCGCGTGAAGCCCCGGAGCTGTTCCGGAGCTCCTCCTAGGTGTGAAAGGAATACAACTAATGTGAAAAAAGTGCGAATTTCGCGCAAGTGAGAATAACTTAAGAACTGGCATTACAAAGAGGTTCTCATTTGTATTTGCTAGATCTGTTCCAAGCAGATGAGAATACCGTTCGGAGCAAATCCAAATAAAAACCTTTCAAAGAAACGCGATAGCTCCAGATGCGCTTGCGTAGAAAACATAAAATTCTCGATCACGAAAATGTTCGATTTTCGTGACGTCACTTTTTTCGATTTCGAGGTCACGTCAAAACCAACAATCCGCGAACCAAAACATTTCACAGCTGTTTAGGGCTCCGAAAGTGGGCTCCTCTTGCAGCTGGGTCGATTAGTTTTTTTGTTTTTGTCGCAATTTGGCCACCAAAATTTTCGATTCGCGAACAAATCGCGTTAATATTGAACGATTAAAAATTTATCGTAAATTAACTACACGAATGACGTAATAAGATACCCAGTGGCGAGAAGGGCAAGGAGAAACGAAAAAAACAAAGAAATTTTTGCTTTGGAATAATTTCGGTACGAAGTGGTAAAATCTGGAAAGCAAGGGGGCCAGTGGCGCTGTCAAAATAACTCTGGACGGTGAATCGTCAGGTGAAGACGGTGAGTAATCAAAATCCAGAATTTCTATTTTGATGGGCGATTTTCATTTTTGGAAAGACAAGATGGAGATTTTGAACTTGATTTGATTGTTTTTATGTCGACGAAGCTGATGCGCATTATTTTCTTTTCTAAATTTTTTTCATCCGTTTAATTGTGCAATTCTTTTGTTCTCTAACTTGGCTGTGTATGTCTGAATCTGTGATTGGAAATTAATTCAATTTTAATTGTTTGGATTATTTTTATTTCAACAGGAATAGTAGGTAATTACTAGGTACAAAAATATTGATTATTGTTTATACATATTTTGAAAGTACATAATATAGTATAATATTCCTCTTTGTCTTGTCTTGAATTGATTGATTGATTGATTTTTTTGACAAGTATTTATTGATTGATCATTGAGCTTCCCCTGTGCAATTTATTTTCCAATCATGGCACTTGACTGCACTATCATTTTGACATTATTTTTGGCATTTTTATTGTCATTTTGACATTCATACTCTAATTTTGACAAGTCTATAACTGTAATTTGACACAAAATGGCTTGTGTAAACATTCAAAAATGATCTAATTTGATAATGCAAATTTTTGGCTTTGATGACTGATACTGATATATGATTGCTTAAGTATTTGTGTGAACTTTCATATTTCATTTATTCATTAATATTTTTCCAAATTTGCAACAGGAGTGAGTTCCCTGTACTATTTTTATGTTTTAGATATTTATTTGATTTTTTGTATTGCTAGTACACACACTGTACATATAGTATATTGATTAGGGACAAGATTAAGGAGGTATCACCTGAGTTACCTACCTTCACTTACTTACCTTTGGGATTTACAATCAACAAGCATATGCCGTACCATCCACACCACAAAAAGTTAATGTCCAAAAGCCATGGTTAACTACGGCAGTATATTTAGAGAAATAAAAAGGAAGAGAGACTTGTCGCACAAATATAGGCACAACAATACTGAAAAAAATTACCAACAGTAACAGCAGCATCAAAATAATAAAGTCAAAAGTTATAGGTACAATCAGAGCAAGAAAACCTCAAAGAAAACAATATGAACAAAATCTGTTGTACAACACCAAAGAGTTCTTTTCCTATGTTGCCTCTTACCTTAACTCAAAACACACTCACTTCAGTATTGTTGACAAAGCAATTCTAGTCCCATTTGAATCTGACCAGGAGGTTGCAGAGTGTTTTGCACAGTAATTCCAGAGTGTTTTTACTATATTCAGCCCTACAGATATTAGAACAACACTTCCAGTTAAATCCTACTCCAGAACAGAAATCGACACCATAAATTTCACTCCAGAAAATGTAGAGATCACCATTAAGCGTGAACTTTTGCCCTGGACTTACTTTATGAGAATTCTCCTATATTTCTTAAAAATCATTAAAACACTCTAAAGGGGCCTCTGGCAGCACTTATGAATGACGTAATATACACAGGAGATTTTTCACAACCTTGGAAAAAAACTGTTGTTATACCTACATATACAGGGTGTTTCACGAACATCGAAACAGAGGCGTTTTAGGGTATTTTAAGGTCGATTTAAAAAAACATTCGGACACGTTTTTTTGACCCCATTGGTATTTCGCTAGGGTGCAACCCCTGGGTGGGGTGAGTTTCATCCCTATTTTTTAGATAGGCAAGATGGGTCGAATGGTACCTCGTTTCAAAGGTATTTTGATTCTCGTAACAACTGTGTTTTTTTTTTTGAAAATTGAATGATCAGTTTCATCAAGATTTACACTGTCAAAGTTGCCATGGCATGCAGTGGCGCACCCAGGTTTTTCATTTGGGGGGGTTTTCATAATGATCAAGGTTCATCGCAGACAGGCGCTGCCGTAGGACGGCCGCCATAAGAAGAATTTTTTTTCGGGTGTCACGCCCAAAAACGTTTATTTTAAGCCTTCGAAAAATTACTTTTTGTAGGTGATTTCCATTAAAAAACAATTAAAACAACGCTCACAGCAAAATAGCTGCGCGAAAAAAAGCTATTGTCACCGCCACTGTTTTCATAATCATGTATTTAAAAGAAAGAGAGTTTCCTACATGGTTGCAAACATCCTAAATTCCGTCTCCACCAATCAAATAATGTTCACAAATCACAAACATTGCTGACCATTCGCAAATTTGCGCGCTTGGTGGAAATACACCTTTACTAAACTTTGCCTTTACCATGACCGCGAATGACAGCAAATATCCAGTAAGTGCCCCAAAATTTTGTAGAGGGCGCGAGTGAACTGGAGTGCTTTCAATTTTGGCGGTAAATGTCAATTAAACCGTTTAACTGAGTAGAAGGAAAGATGTCAGTGTCAGCCAGGCGCGGCTCCTCTGTAAGGTCATTCGGTCAATGACCCACCAAAAAATCAAACAATAAATTTTCAATTAAACATCTTGAATATTACGTTTTTAAATTAACCAACATCACGCTCAACAGAATACAGAAATCGAATTATTTTGCGCATATTGGGTACCCGCCTTTTAAAATTACAAATTCAGGCCTAGCTGCGCTCGGCCGTATTCAAAATTGGGCTTATAGCTTTGAAATGATCATAGGCGAATGCAATAGGAATCAGAGAGAGAGAGACATAACGGGCGTAAATGAGTAAGATAAAGAGGCACATTTGCTTCCATATGTTCCATCACGTCGACGGTCGGCAATGGCGCCAAATCCTCGATCGATCGATATGGGTATTTATCGGAATGGAACAAGAGCGCTCAGAATTTGACGATTTTATTGTCGTTTTTCAATCGCGTTTATTGAAGAAAGATGAAAAACAAAAGTCCTAGAGTGTTGGGGTGTCCAGAGTTATTTTTCTTAAAACAATTACTGAATTGTCATTCTGCACATTGTTTTTGTTTTGATTTAATTTTTTGAGTAATCTGTCCTGAATCTTTCTTTAATCGCTTCACAAAAATGGGTTCCCTTGTTCAGGAAATAATATCTTTAAATTCCAGTGGGGGATTGACTTTTGGAATTAAAGAAAAGTGGTCGTCCAAAAGCAAAGCTTGATTTATGCCAAACCACGAAAGAGCAGTTTAGGTTGAGTGCATTGGCTATGCTCAGAAGGCATTTATCAAAAAAATTGGGAACTCCAATGAACTAGTCATTGACCACTTTGCTTATCAGAAGGATAGGAGAATTGATTTGTTGTTCAAACGTGTCTAAATTTGGGACTCAGTCGACTTAAACAATAAACATTGGACCCACCCAAAGTAAGTTTTTTTTTTCTATTTAAAATGTAGGGATGGGTCTAATTAACTAAATTGTTGTTGTATTTTCTTTATTATTTAAATATTCACTAACTTATCACATGAATTCTAAATAGGTTTCTAACAGGGTTGCAGATTTTTTTGATTTTTTTCCAATAAATCAAAAAAATCCGATTTTTTTGATTTAAATCAGATTTTTTTGATTTAAATCAGATTTTTTCGATTTAAATAAAGAACGCTTTATTTAGATCTATTTTAGATTTCATTTATCATACAACACCCTAAACACAAAATTCATTGACATCATAGGCGCAACTAGGCTCCAAATTTGAGGGGTGCTATAGCACTATTTTTTTTGTTTTGGTGGGGTTTGATGGAAAGTAAATGACGCACGTGAAAAATACTTTGTTTCCCGAGGGTTTGTACTTACGTCATCATTTACCTTCTTTCTTAAACAAATAAGTTTTTTTATGAATGTTATTTCAAATAAACATATAGTTCCTTGCATGAAGGTTTGTCCGTCATCGATGACGTCATAACTTCGAAAAAAGGGTTTAGTTTGTCATAGATCGATAAGGTGCTAGTTTAACGTACGAATGTTTGCGATGTCATTAATTTATTTCGGTCATTTATTATTTGTTTAAAAAGAAGGCAAATGATGACGTAAGTACAAACCCTCATGAAATAAAGTTTTTTTTTACGCGCGTCATTTACTTTCCATCAAACCCTACCAAAAACGTCCACTTTTTATTAATAAATAGATAAAACGACAGACGAAGATTAGAGGGATTCCCAGAAAGATCAAATCAAATAGCATTTCCGTATAATTAAACTGGTGCAGCAGCAGGGTGTATCTCCATCCTTCTTAGGGACAAAAGAAAGACAAAGATAAAGGTATGGTGCGGCCTGTGCTAAGAATGCCACTGGCTGTTAACAGCTGATTACCACATGTTCGCTGCTCACCGAAGGTCCGGCGGTGTGATGTCAGTTTCAGTTGCGAAGATAAATTAAAAATATCCCATTTTTCAGTAGCGTAGATAGATTCAATTAGTTGCATTTTGATTTAATGTTTACTGATATTTTTTATAAATCACCAAATTACAAAATCGCGATTTAAATCATGCGATTAAAATATAATATTAATTTGATTAAAATCGCGATTTTAATCAATGATTTAAATCAGGTGATTTAAATCAATGCAACCCTGATTTCTAACCTGTTGTTTTTAGGGATGGCAACGATACATCGATTTTTTGGAAACATCGATATATCGAACAATAAACATCGATACTTTTACATCGATACAAAACAAGTCGATATATCGATACATCGACATCGATACTTATCGATGTTTAACCTTTGAAATGTATGATCTTTTTAAATACATTTTTTGTTACTTGGCAGTCGACACTAGGTTCTACGAAATAGAAAATCGCTATTCTTGACAGTTTTGATGAGAAATTTTCAGTTGACTTAAATTAACGCTGTTGACAGAATGCCTTAACAGAAACGCTGATCCGATCCGAGGATAATACGCACTACTACCCCAGGATAGCTTATCCTCATAAGGCCTGTGTGGAATCTGAAGCCCCCACCCCACCACGCCAAATCACCAGTTGTGACGTAGGCAGCATGTCGTTTGTTGCCTTAACGTGGGCTGTTTGCACCACAGGTTATGATTCCGCGGGCTTTTGCTCATATTATGTTGATATGCTTGTCTAATTTTTTAATTCAACTTATCTAATTGACCCAATTATAATTTTATTTTC